GTACAAGATATTTTACATTCACAGAGGTATGATACAGTACGGTCCTACATCTATAATACTAGAGGATACAATTAAAAAGGCATTATTTGAGACTTGATTCTACTTTTCCAGCAGAGGGCCCAAAGGATGGTGTGATACAGCTCTGATACAGAAATGCACCTTCTTAGACAGGATTTCTTTCATTAGTGGCACAGTTCTATACTCATTGCTCTTCATGAATATTAGCTAAAAACCGTTATTAAAAAAAAAAAAAAAAAAAAAAAACACCCAAAACAAAAACAAAACTAACCCCATTCATACAAAGATGACCAAGTGGAGGCAAGTTGTACACTCAACCTAACTATTATTTTACCAAATCTGTTATGTTTGAATGGTAAGAGCTCCATGGAAAAAAGGAGATGTTGAGTAGCACTTCAAAACTTTGGGCCACAACCAAACACAGCATCATTTCAAACAGAAGCAGCAGCCAGCCAAATGCTGCTCATTTCGAGATGTTTAAGGAGGCCGACATCAAGACTTAATCATCTGCTCACTCATCCAGGAAGAAGGGGAGATCAGTTACCGTACTTTGATTGCATTCAACTCAATCACTATGTTACAAAAATAGCAAGCTGCCATAATAAAAAATAAGGCTCCTCTATCCAGCACCAGTTATCTTCAGTTCTTCACCACCAAGCCTAAAATGCTATAGCCATAGCCAAAGAACACAGGGAGCAAAGAAACCATGTCTGATGTAGCAGCTGGGGCCACCACCCGGTTCAGGTTGAGCTATTCTTCTGCAGTGTTATCTTCCTCGTATTTCTGGTGTTTTATCTAACCATAAGGATTTTAGTTCTAAATTATATGCACTCAAAGAATGGCGCACTTATTTGTATATAAATTCTGACTGAAGATGCACGGCCATCAACAGAGCGTGTGTTATATAGTAGGTGCAAGCTGGCAAAGCCTCATTTTCACTGGTGCAGCAGCTGTGTGTCAGTGTAAAATTGCTCCTATGTCCCTTGTGCATCTCCAAGTTCTGGACAGGGTAATGTCACAGACTACTTCACCCCTTTGGCTGCTGGCATATCTGACTTCATTCTCCCTACCCGCCCCCCCATCCTCCAAGCCCCTGTAACAAACCACAGCCTTTAAGATTTTGTTTCTTCGGTTTTGATTGCTTGAGGTTTGATTGGTCCAGTTCTAACAGGCTTGGTGGCTATGGTGGATGCAGGGGGTGGCTTTTCTTCCACTTTTTCCTGACAGACACCAGGAGGGTCGGTCAGTGTTTCAGGAGGTTTACTTGAATCACTGTCCATTTTCTGGGCTTTGCCTCCTATTTGTTTGCTCTGTTGCTGTTCAGAGAAGAACCGTTGCGTGGACTGAAGAACCTCTGCTCTCTGCTTTGCCTTAAAAAATGAGAAACAACAGCTGAAAATGCTGCAGCATTACCACAGCCTGTCAATCAATCTCAGTACAAATTCTTTTACCAATCACAAATCAGAGTTTTCCCCACCTTGGATTGGCCCAAAGCAAAAGTACCTCATTGATTTTTCAACTTTTAATGCATGGATTTCTTTCCTATCTCTGAAAATATTTATTTATTTTTTAAATATTCAAATCCATAGGACCACCTCCCACCACCTTTTCAAAGTTTGCCCTCTTATAGAATAATAAAATAGAAATTGCTGCTGGTTTGTATTTTTTTCTGGAACAAAGCTTATTGATACAAAATTTCATTTAGGGAGCCTGTTTGCAAATTTGAAAACATAAATGTAACACTTAAAACTTCTAGTTATCAATATTTGGTCTACAATAAAATGAAAAGGAAGCACTTATATTGTGGCATTACCAACACCTAGGACCAAATGTCTTGTGGCTGAGTCCTCTTCCCACAGCTCTCTTCTGCAGGGGAAGAGCATCAGAAATTAGTAACTACAACTTCACTTGATCACTAAGTTCTGATAGCTCCTACCACATTCTGAGCTGGTAAAATAGATAATTTCTTAGTTGTATTGACTATGTGCCCCAAAGAATATACTTACGTCAATCTGAAAACTCTACCACTGTAACATATACAATTAGAACTTAAGTTTCTACACGTCTTGCATATAATAAAAAACCCTTCATATGCTACAGGTAACCTGTCTTATCCAAAGAGCTGATGCAACTTTCCAGAAATCTGTACCCTCCCCCACCCTATTAAGATTATTATGCTCTAACACCAAGGAGCCAAGGGCAGAACTGGTAATCAGGCTGAATACTTTCCATAGATTCCTACACATACCAGTATTTTCAATAGTTATAAACAGATGGAAATCTTGGCTATATTGCCTTAATAAAAGAAGATAATGTTTACTTCAATCACTGAGCTTCAGGGTAGTCTTTAAATTTGATTACTCAGGATCAGAAACACAAGGCTATCAATCCAGAAACTTTAGTCAGACCACTGAATACTTTAACAGTATTATTATAAATATGTTTCTAACTCAGAGTAAAGCACTGCTGTGGACACTGTCCTGTTAAGTTGTTCTTTGTTCTAGCCTGACCTGATATATGTAGTGGCAAAACAGGCAATGTTACTAAAGTCAAATCTAAGTATGTATAGAAATGAACCCGTTCAGCTGGCTGTACAGGCAGACAGGTTAAATTTATGCTCTAAGAACTGTCCCCACACAGACTCCTGGGCACTCTCCTGCAGTAGCAAACCTCGCATTTATCAGTGCCTTTCATCATGAAGGATCCCAAAGTGCTTTCTGAGTTCTTCACCTACAACTGTTCAATCCACTGTGGAAAAGAGCCACCTCCGGTGGCAGACCAAAAAAGGGTAAGAAAGCAGTTTAAGACAACTATACTTGGATGATTCACAAGGGAATAAAATCAAGACAGGTAACATGTCTTACCCATTCCAGAGTTTTGACATAATCATGACTTATATCTTAAGTTTAGGGAGAAAGTGGTGGGTGGGGATGGGAAGGAGAACTAAAAAAACAACAGAAAGAAAAATCAAAGAAAACAAAAACGAAAATGGGGAAGCTTATGACATTACTTTTTTTCTCTTCCAAAAAATGCAGCATCAGATCTCCCTCAAATATTGATCAGCAATTCATTTGGCCACAGAATTTAAAATATTAGCTTATTTGTGGACTATAGTTATAAAAACGAAAGTGGAAAAAAAAGGGGGGGGAGGGAAAAGGGGTGGATAGAAATTAAAAAAAAAAAAAAAAAAAAGTAGTTAGCTTGGTTATGTCTGCTAAGACAATGAATGCCTGGATATATGGTTATGGGTCCAGAGGCATCTTAAGACATGGTTCAGAGACAGACTCTTGCTCTCTTGGCTGTTAACACTGTACTAACCTTCATGTCTTGTTCAGCCTTCAACGCAGCCTGGGCCTGATTACCTCTGACTCCAGATAGTGATCCACAAGGACCCCTGGCTACATGTGGCAAACGAGCATGGCTCATGAGGCCTGTGGTCAGCGGAGGAGGCATCTGACTGGCCAGTGCCATTGGTGGCCTCTGAACAGGCGCTGGGAAGGTGTTAGTATGTGGGGCTCTTACCAATGGAGGGACCAGGTTAGGCTGAGAGAGAATCTGAGTGAAAAAAACAAAACATACAACATTGAACTGTTACAAAAAAAAAAAAAAAAGCCAACTAAACTAGGTTGGCTTATCCTAGAGTAAATCTGTGCCCAGTCTGCCATTGAAAGGAAGTGTATGGATTGTGCCATTCCACTAACAGGGACAAAGAACAAACAGGCCATGCTTGGACAGAATACCAGAAAAATTAGGCAAAGCATGCTATGTATAGCGTTTCTTTTGGTTCTAGCATCTGAGCTGCAAATTCTGAAGGGGGGATAGAAAGGCTATTAATTAGAGTATCTTTAAAAAAAGATATGATTGCACAAAAGGCACACACTTACACCAAACATAATCTAAAGTAAAGATTAAATAATGATAATACTAATTCAATAAATATACTTTTCCTCAGAAACTAATTGTGAGAGTTCTTATCAATTTCACTTAGTCCTTTAATATGATGAGCAAAGGGAAGAGAAGACAACTTCTTACACATACATCAGGATATTATTTAGAAATTTCACCTCAAATACACACAGATTATCTTAAAAAAAAAAAAAAAGAAAAAAAGCTTCACACCTAGAAAATGTCAAGCACTGGGACCCTTCTCTGAAAAGTCAACTTCTTTAAAAAGATAAAGGAACAGGACTAAAATGAAATATCAGAGCTGTGTGGGGATCTTTTGACTATTTCTATTGTCTGCTTTAGATACAATTACTGCCTGTGTCTAGCTACAAACTGCAGAGAATGCATTTGAATCTCACATATTTACTGTTAAGTCAGAAATTGTTTTTCATTAAAACTATGCTTCTAAACTGGTTAACATGTGGCAAGATTACAATATTGGAGAATTAGCCAGAACAGAAATCATTTACAAGTAAGTAATACTCAGTCTCACTTATATCTGCCCACCTGGGGTGCAAACTGTGTAGGAAATGGTTGTGTCATTCTCACAGTGGCAGGGGCTGACTGGAACTGCTTCTGATAGACAATGCTGTTCATTTTGCTGGACTGGCTGTTTGGACTTGTGGAAGTAGCCCTTGGAAAGAAGCCATCACTGGTCAGTAAAGTAGTAGTACCACATAAATAATGCTGTCAGGTTTTTATAGACATTGATCTAGTACTTTGTAATTGCTGAAAATTAGTAGAGACACAACAGAAGAGCAGAGCTAAGAAAAGGATACTAGCTAGATCTGCCCTGTATTAGAAGAATTTTCTAAAAATAGTGTTAAGAAATAAAAACTTTAATATTTTAGATAAAACTATCAGAAAGCCTTACTAATTCCCTTTGTGCTTCACACAATGACGTATCAATATCTATCAAACAAATGGTGATCGATTATTTTGAAATTCTGTAAGCAAATTTAAATGTGCATTTTACCGGAAGGGACTAGATGTTGGTGTGGTGCTTCTGCCGCCAATTGGAGGTGTGCCTGGTTTAATATCAATACCACTTCCAAAAGCTTTTAGTTCCATTTCAGACATCTGAGAAAAAGCATAAAATAAATGCAGCATTCCTTAAATTCCATAAACTAAGTGCTGTGTTTAATGTCCTACATATGAAAGCTTAATCTAGCAAAGGGCAAAAATCTTAGGGCCAACATTCTCTAATTGGGTTTCAAATACCACAGGATTATCAGGCCAAATTTGTGGCTAAAAGGTCTAAGAGACTATGTAAATCCAACTGTTACACAGACTTTGTGAATGATTTATTGTTAGGCAAAAACCAGAGGGACTGAATGCATTAAAAATAAATGAATACGTACACTGGGTTTTGCAATACCCTTGAGAGTAGTAAAAACTGTTTTATTTTTGCAGAATACATCTATGCATATATGGCCTTAAACTCTTAGTAAGCTGTGCAAATTTCTCTTCACTTACTTTTCCTGTGGTTGTCATCATGCTATGCTGAGTTCCAGCAGGGATTAATCCTCTGAAAGTCTGGCTTACTTGTGCAGGACGACTCAGGCTCTGGGCCTGAGCCTGTGGGGTGGTATGCTGTAATGGGGGCTGAAGAGTCTGAGGCAAAGCAATCAGAGGTTGTCCCGTAGATCCAAAGTTAGGCAAGGAAAGCTGGGAGGCTGGCAGAGGTACCGTAACCTAGAACACAGGCAAACAGAAACCCCAGGAATTTGCTTGTACCCACTGTATACATATTCCTATACCTATATACATACAACTCTTAAATATTTTTAAGTTTTTTAAAAACAGAAAGTCAACCTACTAAATCTTCTCAACATAAATCTTTTGCTTAGCAACTATCTCCACTCTTTTATTGAAGTTGCAACAGCAAAATAAATGCATCTCTCCTCCAGCCCTCCACCAACTTTTAAAGAGGATGCTGATTAGCAACCCTGCCAGAGGCGGCAGTGTTTAAAAAACAAAAACAAAAACAAAAACAAACATTTTCCACTGAAAATTATTGCATTTATACACGTAAGAAAAGTATTTGCCATTTATACTCTGTTGTACTCTGCGACACTGTCACATGCATTAAATTAATCTGTCTGATGGTCTTTAGAGCCTTCCTTCCACCTCTTCCATTAATGGGTAAACCACATGTTACACTTACATTGTATAATGTATATATTGTATATTTTGGACAACAGTTTTCAAACTTTTATATCACAGGATCTTGCTAAAAGGTACTATTACATGGAAATGAAGTTTTTAAAAAATAAAATAAAAACCACAATGTCTGAAGTAGGGGTAGGAGAGAGGTGGAGAGGGGTGGTGGGAATGAAGCGCCTTCTATTCCCGGTAGCCCCCATGCTGCTGTTGTTATGTGCCGTGGAGTCAGACCCAACTCATAACAACCCCTCCTTGAGTTTCCAAGGGGGTATCACTACAGAAGTAGATTGCCCATCCTTCCTTCCAAGGAGTGGCTGGGGGGTTTGAACCTCCAGCCTTCTGGTTAGCAGTCAGAAAAATCACTAAACTTTGCCTCCATCTTGGTTCTATTCAAATTCTCAAACAACAAAAGCTGTAAAATTAATAATAATAAAGAAAATTGAGGAAATTTACCATGCCATAGTTTACCTGCTGAAGAGCACTCGGTGACTGGGCAGTGTTATAAAAATTTGTCTGACCAGGCTGTTGTACTTGTCCAGAGTATAGATTTGAAGCCTGGGTAAGATTCGCTCTAGCCTAGGAAGAATTTTTTAAGAAAATAGCAGTAAGACTGAAAAATTTTCCAATTCAGATATGAAAGTATGACTTCAAAGCAATCTCTAGGAATCTTAGATTAAGAGAGAGAGAGGAAAAAAAAGGAAGATCTATTTCATTTCGTCTTTTAACATTTTCTTTAAAATAATCTGCTGCACAGGAATACAATGCCAGTGCATGGTTCTAGCCCCTTCCTTACCTGGAGAAGATGAGTATCAATTAGTTGGGAACCTCCTAGTCCTGATGCCTGACCCAGCTGATGTTCATACAAGATAGGTATTGGCTGAGTATTTGAAGTTTGCTGAAAGGCAAGACCTGATTGTGCCTTGGCGAGCTCCTGGTGTTGGACAGCTGGAAAGTTGTGGATTGCAGTGCCAGAAAGAACCACAGATGGCTGGGAAAGACTGCTCTGCATAAAGGCTGGCTGAGATCTGTGTAAGTATTAAAGAAAAAAGGCTTATGTTAGAAGTAAATTGCATCTGGAATCTGGATATTTTAAGAATGAGTATCCCAAAAGACTCTAGGTTCCAACCCTTACGTGCATCAGGATTATCCATGAAGATTTTTCAAAAAAAAATATAATGCCGAGTTCTAAACCCAGAGTGCCCTATCATCTCTGGGGTGGATGGCTCAAATCTATGCATTTAAAACACTGAAATAAAGAATAAGCAAGTAATCAAATGCAAGTAGTGCTAATTAAAATTAAAAACAGCATTGTTTTGTTAAAACTGACCCATGTGGCAAAAAAAAAAAAAAAAAAGGCTATGAAGCCATAGGGCTAGTTTAGGGTCACTACCAATCTTCACTATGTCTACCTACAATTTATATTTCAAGTATAAAATGGGAAAAAACATGAACATATTAGGAGGGGGGCGGTCGCTATGAGTCAGGTCTGACTCAATGACACATAACAACAACAACATCCATGTAGAAATCAACTCATGGCTTTGTATTAATAAACAGTAAGCTGATTAGTTTAAGGTGAGAGCAAGAGTGGCAGTATGATGTTTAGGGATAATAAACAATTGCTTTAAGTCTAAATACCTGTGTCTTCTAATATGGTAGCCACTAGCCTCACGTGAAGGAGCTCTGTCAGCATAGTGCCTAAGGCTGACTGCTAACCAGAAGGCTGGTGGTTCACACCCACCAGCCACTTCTCGGAAGGAAGGTTGGGCAATATACCTCTATAGTGGTACCGCCTCAGCAACCCAAGGAGTTGGGTCTGACTTGACCCTATCAACAACAGTAGCCTCATGTGGCTACTGAGTACTTGAAGTGTGTGACTAGTCCAAATTGAGATACGGCGTTAAGTACAAAATACATAATAGTTGGTGAAAACTTAGTAAGAAAAAGAACATGCAAAATATCTCATCAATAATTTTTATATTGCTTATATATTAAAATCATAATATTTCAGATATACTGGGTTAAATATATAGTAAAATTAATTCCACCTTTTTTTTTTTTTAGCTTTTCAAAAATGGCTATTAGAAAATTTATATTTATGTATGTGGTTTCCATTATATTTCTATCAAACACATCTGGTTTAAACAATCTTAAAGGTACACTTTCCAAGATAAATGTTAAGATGTTAATAAATAGAGGATGTCAGTGCACTGCTATTCCATTGCCCATGGCTATAAAAGACATTACTAATTAGGTACTGTATTCTCTTTCACAGAGCAGGACAGGGTCTCACACTTTTCAAATGTTTCATGTGACCAGTACCAATGGAAAGGAGACTGGTTTGTGAGAGTGAATTTGTCATTCTTCAATCAGAAATCTTAAAGTTTAATTTTTATCACAAATTTTGAAATAATTCCAAGATTAATAATACATGAGTGGAAATGATACTAAGAGACTACCTATAACTTCTAGTCTAGTTATATTATATAGTTTTTATTTCTACTGGGAGAGAACCTCTTAGAATGACCAAACTAAAAGACAAAAGTGAGATCACAAAATAAAATCTATTATATAACTAATGATAGAGATACACTGAATTCCACTGCGGAATCTTCAATCAAGAAAACAAAAGCAAGAGCCACAATTACCAAGTGTACTAATGATCTACTCTCTTTTGAGAAAGTTTAATTAGCTGAACCAGATTCCTTTTTGGTAATCTAAAAGCAATAAGCTATATCAATTGATGCCAAATTTAATCTATAAAGTATGAAAATTGTATCTGAACTACTTCTTTAAAAAAAAAAAACAAAGTCTAATATATTTCCAAAATCAAATGCACAACTTTACAACCTTCTTAAACTATATGTCTTGAAAGCAATTTATTTTTCTTTTGGATGATTGACTAAGAGTCATTACTATGATTATATAAGCTCTGGTAGCACAGTGGTTAACAGCATTTGGCTGTTAACTAAAAGATCTATATTCCAAACTCACCAGCTGCTCCTTGGGAGAAAGATGAGGCAGTCTGCTTCTGTAGAGATTTACAGCCTTGGAAACCCTAGGGGGCAGTTCTACTCTACCCTATAGGGTCACTATGAGTTGCAATCAACTCGGTGGCAGTGAGTTACTGGTTACTCTGAATACTGATGACTGAGCTGTCGGCCATGATGCACTGCCCATACCATCTGACCCCTATCCCCATCTTCCACCCTCATTCATCTGGAGACCAGGACAGGGTTGAATCCAGGCTCTGCCACTTATTTGTAGGGTAACCTTAGCTAAACCAAACCATAACAAAATAAACAAAACCCTAACCTTTTAAAGTCACAATTTTCTCATATATCAAATGGGATGACTCAATCTAGCTTATATGGCTCTATGAAGACAAAACTGAGTTAATGTAGATGAAGGCTAAATATCTATGGGGAATGTTTAATAAAGAACAGTTCTCATTACTTCTCAAACTGAAAAATAACTCAGTATGTGTCTCAGTGAGTCCTTTAAAATGATGCTTTTCCCTACATTACAGAGTATACCTGTCACCATTATCACCATTACTGCTAATCTTTGTCACTCTACTCTCTTCTATTATCTTCCAACTTATCCTCTACCCCCTAACATACTGTAGTTGTCTTGCCATGCTTCACTTCTTAACAGATGGGGCTTGGATTTGTAGTTTTTTTAGCAGCCAGATAAAGGGGCTTTGGTGGTACAGTAGTTAAGCACTTAACTGCTAACCAAAAGGTTGATGATTTGAACCCACTAGCCACTCCGTGGGGGATAGATTAAGCAGTCTGCTTCTGTAAAGACTTACAGTATTGGAAAAGCTATGGGGCAGTTCTTCTCTGTCCTGAAGGGTCACTATGAGCAGGAATAGACTCATGATAGTGGGTTGGGAGCGGCCAGACAGGATGTAAACTTCTGGGTCCTTTAGCAAATATTTTCTGCAATTTTTAATTGCTATGTTATTGTTGTTGTCCGTTTCTTCAAAGCTTTGAGGCCTGACTTGGTTCAATAAAGACGGAAATAATCAGAGGCTGTATTAATGACATGTAATGAGTATACTGTTGTGGTGGTGTTGTTATGTGCCGTCGAGTCATCTCCAACTCATAGCAACCCCTCCTTGGGTTTCTGAGGCTCTACCTTTATGGAAGTAGATTGCCCAATCTTCCTTCCAAGGAGTGGCTAGTGGGTTTGAACGGCCAGCCTTCTGGTTAGCAGTCAAGTGCTTTAGGCACTGTGCCACCAGAACTCCTAATGAGTATACAAAATTATTTAATATAGTTTGTAACAGGATTATCTCAGCTTGTTTGGAGGAAAGAAGGAACAGCAGAGATTATGGCAAGGAGACTGAATATTATATTGTTTTCAACATTACAAAGGTAATTTTAAAGCACTTACCTATATGGTTGAAGTGAAGAACTAAATAATTCCTGAGCTTGGGAAACAGCAGGTCCAGCCCCTAAACTCAGTTGAGCTTGATGCTGTCCTTGTAGTGGTGCATAAATAGGGATTGGAATCTGCTGAACTGAAGTTGGCTATAATGCAATTAAAAAAATAAGTACACAAACATACATGAATATCATACACACAAATTACATTTTAGAAAATAAAGCTGAGACATGAAAAGAATAAAAATGTTCCCCTTTAAAAACAAATGTAAACATTTACATTTTCCTTTCAACTCACTACTTATTCTACATAGTTAACTATTAAGTTTTGTAAATCTAGGGAAGCCCTTTATTTTTGTTAATATCACATCAATATTATCATGTATAGTCCAAAAACTGCACAGAAATAAATATAGAATGAAACAAGTTTTTGATAATTACCTGAGAAAGACCTGGTTGAAAGCCTTGCTGCTGAGCCAAGGATGGTGGAGCCAATCGTGCATGCTGGGTATTGAATAAATGACTTGTATCCATATAGAAAGTTGGGATCTGTGTTACTGGTACCGAGGAAAGACAAGGTGCTAAATTCCAGAATTCTCCAAAGAGTAAATAAAAATCAATATTTACAGCAGATTTCAAATTGAGGGTTTTTAGCTGCTGGATAGCATGTAAACTTTAGGCTGGAAAATCAGTATCCCTCTCCCCTTGTCACCGAGTCAATTCCGACTCCTAGGGACCCAGTAGTTCAGAACAGAACTGCCCAAAAGGGTTTCCAAGGCTGTACACCTTTACAGAAGCAGACTGCCTCATCTTTTTCCCATGGAGCAGCTGGTGGGATTGAACCATAGACCTTTTGGATTAGCAGCTGAGTGCTTTAACCACTCAGGGCACCTTGAAAATTAATATAGCCATGGAAAAACTAAAAAAATGTGAAGCCCCTAGAGTACAAAAAACAAAAGCCAAACCCACTGCCATTGAGTCAATTTCAACTCATAGTGACCCCCCACTGGGTTTCCAAGGTGGTAAATCTTCCTTCCGCAGAGCGGATGGTGGGTTGGAACTGCCAGCCTTCCAGTTAGCAGTCAAATGTTTTAAGCAGTGAGCCACCAGAACTCCTTCTATAGTACAGGTATGTGCAAATTAAACGTAAATCTGGTGATCATGAAGGTCCAGACAGATACTTTCATATACTGCCAACAGGGTGTACGTTGGTAAAGTTTCACATTATCTGTTAAAATTGAAAATGAACCTATCCATTGAAACAGCAAATCCACTCTAATTTTAAATCTGTCTACTAGAATTTACCAAAATATTACCAGAATTTCATAATGAAAAAGTTTGGTATTGATTTTTCCAGATTTCCATTCTATGTATGACACATACTGTTTTGTGGCTTGCTGTTTTTACATAATAGCAAGTTCTGGAGAGCTTCCATATTATCTTATTAATTAGATACTATTAAAAAATATATTGTAATTAACATCCTTATACACACACACACACACACACAAATTTAACTAACATGCAAGTTTATCTGTATGAGAGATTCCTAGCTATGAAATTGCTCCTACACTATGTACATTTCATATTTTCTAAGATAGTTTTCAAGAATTATGCCTATTTATACACTCACTAGCAAAAGAGGGCCTATTAATATCCTTTATCCTCTTAGATAGATATTGGGTATTAACAGACACCAGATATTAGCAATCTTTCTAACACTTTCCCAAGTGAAAGGCAAAAAATACCTTCATTGTTCTTTTAATGTGAATATAAATCATTAGTGAGTCTGAATATTTTTCAAATGTTTACTGACCATTTAACTTATATAATACTGTTATAGTTAGTAGGACAGGTTACCTCACCCCTACTATATATATTTTTTTTCTTCTTTGCTATTCTTACTCATTTTTGTTCATTCTTCCATGTGAACTTTATTAATTTTTCAAGTTTCAGATAACAAACCCTTTGGTAATTTAACTGTAATTGCATCAAGTCATGTATTATTTTGCAAAAAATTATACATTAATTTGTCTAAGATGTAAAATATATATTTAACAAACAACTGGCAATAATATATATAAGAAATATCTACCAAGAGCCCCAGAATGCTTATCAAAGACAGAGAGCATTCAACTCTATATGGGAACAAATTTGCAAAGCAGACAAAAGTAAAGTTAAACTTGAAAGGATAACTAAAAGAAAAAAATAAGCATTTAAGAAAGTCTTCAGTTCGTAATATTCAATTCTAAAACTATTACCTGCTGCAGACTGAGACACGTAGACTTGTGGACTCTGTTGCTGCTGAGCAATAAGGGAAGGCATACAGCTTAACTGTGAAAAATGACTTGCAGAAGGCAGGCTGCTTGTCTGTAACTGTTGGGGTTTCACTTTACAAATGTTAGGAGGGTCAGATGTGGTTGTAGATTTTGTACTCAAAGAAGAGGTAGTGTATGTACCAGCTCCTGTATTTGAGGGAGGGACAAGATAGGGGGAAATTATAGTATATTTAAAAGTGCTATTGATGTTCAGAGTAAATAACTTAAAACAGCAACCATAAACTGAAAAACTACTGTTTATACCCATTTATAAGTGTACAAATTGTACACTTACTGATATGCCTTATGCCAAAAATCTACATCCATCATGAAATGTTAACAAGAATATACAATCAGAGAAATATAAACAAAGGATGCTTAATAGGAGTAAAAAAATGACTCACAACATAAGGATGCTGAGTACCTACGTGGTCATTACAGTTTAGCCTCAATCTACTATTCAATTTTTAACCTCACATTCATTCACTTATCAAGAAATATTTGAGCACCTATTAAAGACCAGGCATAGATATAATGGAATTCAGTTTATAGAGTTGGAACACTTTTCTAAAGTGGTGCTCTGTTTGATTTGTGTAAAAATCTCTAGGTTTGTCTTAGGACATAATTGTGAATATGTAACAGCAAAGTTAACTGTGGTACATCCCAAAGCCCAGTTTTTTTGGTAGTTAAAACTAGCACAGTATGCCAATATACTGAAAACCACTATTGCAATCACTAAATGAGAACCAGCCAAAGAAAGTAAATTCTTGCATGGTACATTTTATGTTGGAAAGGAGCCTTCTACTTCTTTGGACACATTGTTGTTGTTGTTATTTGCTGTCGAGTCAGTCCCGACCCATAGCGACCCCTCCTTGGGTTTCCAAGGCAGTATCACTACGGAAGTAGGATTGCCCAACCTTCCTTCCGAGGAGTGGCTGGTGGGTTTGAACCGCCAGCCTTCTGGTTAGCAGTCAAGTGCCTTAGGCACTATGCTACCAGAGCTCCTTTGGACACATTAGGGAGATTCATTAATAGTGAGAAAGCGTGAAATGAAATTCCTGTTTTCAAGAGAAATAACATGGTTGCATATATGATAAAAGGGTGCACACTTCCTCAGAATCAAAAGAAACATCCTATAAAACTTTAAGAACTGTAAAATCAGTATAGTTCAATGAAACGATTATAAACAAATGAAAATTTAAGGAAAAAGGCAAGGAAGACATTTTTTAACATGGAGAATTGATGAACTAGAAAGAGAGAAAAGAAAGAAAGAAAGAAAATCCAATGGATTCCATCTAGTCCAATAGCTGAGGCTGAAAATTCTCTACTCCTCTCTCTTCACCAGAAGACCAATCAACGATTCCTTCAAATTAGATACAGATTGCAAAAACTGTAAAAGCTGTGTGATTCTGTGTTATTTCTGAGCTGGTTCAATTAGTTGCATATGGGTAAAAAATGACAATCAATTAGTTTTTTTTTTTTTTTTAACTTTGAGGGATATCCAGCAAAGTAAGCCATACATAAATATCAGAAGTGACCATCCTCTGGAGAAGGAAATCATGCTTGGTAGAGGGTCAGTAAAATAGGGGAAGACTGCCAATGAGATGGGGTAACACAGTGCTGCAACCATGGGCTCAAGCACAGTAAAGATTATAAGGATGGTACAGGACCGGGCAGTGTTTCATTCTGTTGTACATAGGGTCACTATGAGTTGGAAGTGACTTGACATCAACTAACAACAAACTAAAATTGGGAATAGGGAAAAAGGAGGGGGGAGGTGAGAGTGACAAGAAGTTACAAAACAGCTGACAGTAATATCATTTTACATCTTTTATAAATAATACTTTTTTTGTGTGTGGGATAGTGAACATGAGAAACTTGTAAACAATTTAAAATAACTAAAGATATAGACATTTAATGGAAAGGTACAAAAATCTTGTACCTGATAATGATGTTGTAGGAGTGACTGAGGCTACAGGAATCTGAGGCATCGATGCACTTGAGAATGAATTATAACTAGCAGTGCTTTGTCCACTGGCACTACTGCTGACTCCACTTGCAATTGGAGGTGCTGTGGAAGTTACTGGAGACCCCTTTTCTCTCACATTTGGAGAATTCTCCCATGCCTTGCGTGCAGACTCCATCTGCAATAAAATGGACATTATTTTTCAAAAAGAAAAATATCAATGTTAACACAGAAGAAATACACATACATACATGTGTATGTATATTTATAACATTCTTGTTTCACATCCAGACCTCACCAGGCATTTAACCATACTGACTGTAAGGGGCTCTGGTGGCACAGTGGTTAAAGCACTTGCTACTAACCAAAAGGTCAAAAGTTCAAATCCATCAGCCATTCCACAGAAGAAAGATGACCCAGTCTTCTTCCATAAAGATTTACAGCCTTGCAAACCCTATGGGGCAGTTCTACCCTATCCTATAGTGATCAGAATTGACTGGATGGCAGTGGGTTTTCTGATACTGACCAAGGGCATTTGCGGCATCTGGTTTTTGCTCTACTTTCCTAGTTTACAGGTTTTAACTCAATCTATTTAGAATAACACTATTCAACAGACATATAATGTAAGTCATGTATGTAATTAAGAATATTCTAGCAGCCATATTAAATATAGTAAAATTAGATATTAATTTTGATAGCATTTTGTTCAACCTAATATATCCAAAATATTATAATTTCAACACTAATCAATATAAAAGTGAGGGAGTTTATTATTTTTCAGTAAAATTTTGGGTCTAGTGTGTACTTTACGAAACAATAGGTTCCACTGAGATTTAAACTCGGATTGCTGGATTCAGAGTTCAAGGTGCTAACCATTACACCATGGAACCCTACATGCTGGTGGTGTAGTGCCTAAGGCATCTGACTGCTAAACTCTGTTCAAACCCACCAGCCACTCCTCGGAAGGAAGATTGGGCAATCAACTTCCGTAGCAATACCACCTTGGAAACCCAGGGAGGGGTTGTTATGAGTCGAATTGACTTGATGGCAGTGAGTTTGTTTTTTTGGTGTGTTTTACACTTAATAGCACACCTCAAATTGGACTACCCACAGGTCAAGTGCTCAACAGCCACATCTGGCTAGTGGATTCTGAACTGGAAAGGTACAGATATAGATCCTCAAGTAGCCTGAGGCTACATGAACAAGAAAGATGGAAGACTGGGCAATCTACTTCGGTAAAGATTTACTGCCTCGGAAACCCAAATGTAAAATTTCATTTTATCAATTCCACCAGTCAAAATACTGAACTAAGAAGAAAACCCACGGTAATCTGTAAAATTCAGTTGTGATTACTTATGTAAGAATACTTTTTATGAGTAATATTTTTAATACCACTGTTAGGAAGTAAAGATTTTTCAGAAATGAAGCTTTTGAATCCTTACAGTATGATGTCTAAAACTTTAAGAATTTGAGAGATACTCACATATTCTAAGCTGAATCCTTTTTAAAACACACATATACATAATTTAACCTTTTCTGATGACCAAGTCATTACTGTAAATTCAAAAGATAGACCACTTATATGTTTATTTCTGAAGGAGCTCTTGCATTATAGCACAATGGTTAAGCCCTTGGCTGCTAACTGAAGGACTGGCAGTTTTAACTCAGCAGTTCTGTAGGAGAAAGACCTGGTAATCTACTTCTGTAAAGCTTACAGCTTAGAGAACTCTATGGGGGCAGTTCTAATCTGTCACATGGGTCACTATGAGTTGGAATCAACTCAACAGCACACAACACCATCTGAGGTTTCTATAGTTTAGTGAGTCAAGTGATTATAGTATCTTTCATACTACTATTTGGTTGTGTTGAAAACACGTGATAGTCAATCAACCTTGCCTTAACTTACTTTTTTAAGCAGCAAGTAAATTCAAAGTTTCAGTTTTTGGAAATTTAAGGAAACCAAAATATACAATTATTTAACTGTACTTCCCTTGACAAAATATACTGTCAATAATGTCCATAATAGAATTTTTACTGTACTTTATGTATTACGAAGATAAAGCAAGATGCCAGAGGTAAAAAATAAGGAAACGAGGAGAGGTTTTAAACTAATACAATTTGAACTTATTTTAATTTAAAATATATATTATTCTTCTTGGAGTGTCAAATATGAGCGACATGCAAGAGCTATAGGTTTTATAAAGAAATAACATTTGGCCTAGAGGAAAACATGACATACCTGCTTATGTGAAAATTAGATTATTCCCTTGAAAAGGATAATGATTAAAAAAACCCCATCTTTATTATAAGACATAAGAAACATCATTGGAACAGTCATTCAAGTGGAAGAAAACAACAACAGCTGAATGAGAATTGGCACTAAACAGTAATGATTGAGTCAGGACATGAAATGCACAGAACAAAGGCTGTTCCCTTCAAATTTATAAAACAACTTTTCTTAACTCTCATTCCCTCTGAGATCACCAAAAGATTCACCAACAATCAGTGCAGCATTAGGAAGCCCTGCTATAGTAAATTACATAATTGCTCATACTATGAAACTGAACAAACAACCCCAATGAGGTTAAGTGTACTTTAAAAATCCCCACTTAATTCCATATCTGCATTTTTTTTTACTAACTTATCCTCAAGTGAATAATAATAAAAATTTGAATCACAATCTCCTAATGTAGCTTATAAAGCACACTCATATTAATCAATTGCCTCTTCATTTTAAATATTCGGATATCAAATCACTAAGTGGTGCTTCAAATTAATACAATTTTAAGGTATAAATTTGATATTACACCATTTCCTCAACTTAGTATTTGTTGCTTACCAGATAAAACTAGTGAAAATACCAAAATGTTATTGTTAATTTATGTCCCCTTGCATGCAACAATCAAGGACCCTTAGAGATGGTTGTAGTACATACCTTGAAGGTGAGGCTGAAAGTAGTGGGAGGAACTGAAGTTAGGCTGGAGCTCTGTTGGAGAGTCTCCCTCTTAGGGAGGGGAAGGGTATTGGGCAGGGGCACCTGAAAGGCAGGCAACACATATCACAATCTAACTAGGTCTGCCACAAAAGCCTCGTTGAAGTTAATGCTCAAGTATGCGAAGGCTGTTCTTTTTCTATCACACCCAACAGGAATATCTAATTACTTAGAATTACACTGTGTTTATAGTAATTGATAATTATGGACAACTTGGATAAAACTTCTAAGGAGAGTTACTACCTTCCTTTTTATTTATAAATTATGGGCTCCACAAGTACTACCAGAGACCTTTAATATAACACAGTGAAAATCGAAGAAAATCTCTTCCCTGCAATATAGTCAACTTTCTTCAAAGATTCAAGAACAAATGTAATCTTGGAGGTGGAAGAAGTATGGAATATTGCCCCTACCTCGATAAACTAAACAATCTGCTCTGCTACAGTAATAAAATGATTATGACAAATACTGTTAGAAAAGTGAAAATATTAATTTACTATACAACTCTCTTTTTTTTCCCTCTAAGTCTCTGGATCTTCAGATTTTATTATGTACTATTTTTATGGTCCTTTCAGTTCTTTAGGTAAAATGTCTAGGCTATTTGGGGGTTTTTAAGGTAATCATTTCTGTGATACTGTGGACTACTTAATGGAAATTCTTATATAAATCTAAGCTACGACTGTAAAAACTGCACCTGCATTCAAGTCTTCAAGACATTCAATATACAAAACACTTGTAATATCAGATAAAATCAACCAACAAGTAACAGTTAATCCTAAACAACTATATTAAGGATCAATAAGGGGAGTAAACATCTTTTTACATATACTTAAGAAAAAAGGACAGAACTTCTGAAATGTATAAAATGGAGCCTTTAAAAAGATTAACAAAAGAAAAAAGAAAATTTCAAAAGTCCTATACATTGTTTTATACACTATAGTAATTAAGTTTAGAATCACCACCACACTTGGTACAAGTAGGCAATGTTGTGAAGCCATTCCAAACTGATGACCACAATATTTAATGCTCCCTGATCCAAACTGATACATTTTCAAACATACCTTGCATACACTACTAACAATTAAATGTAGACTATTCACTTATATATGACCGAGTCTCTTCCCCAAAACAGACATCGGGGTACAAGTTACTACATCAATCAGTTTTACAGATCACATCGAAACCCATAAAAGGTCATCTGGTTATTTTCAATGACTTTTAAGTATACTGACAATAATGATCTTTTCTTAATCCCATTTCATAAATTATATTTTCAGATGGCAGTTTGGCAGAAAGCATCATATACTTTTTTGAAAAAGAAAGTTAGAGCTTAGATGTATTTTGTATATTTTTCAAATGGAGAAATAACATCACAATTTAACCTTTATTCATTGAGACTCAAAATTTGAAAATCTAGATAATGACATGAGCACTGACAGGAAGTCTTTTTCCTTACCAAGTATTCGATTATTTTAAAATAATTTAAACCATTATCAAAAAGGTTTTTTTTATTTAAAGTTTTACAACATTCCAAGTTGGATGAGTTTCATGGTAATAAGCTCTTAGAGAGAGGAGGTCTGCTGTCACTGAGAGAAAGCATGTGACTTGCCCCTTCCTCTCTCTTTGCCACAACTACATATTAAGAGCTCTTTGGCTGGACTATAAAAGTTGGATTCAGTGACTCCTAATGCTTCTAAACTCTCTATAATTCTTTAAACTTGATGCTAGAGGGAAGAATAGAAAGCTTAGGAAAAAAATCTATGAAAAGACAAAAATCAAGACTTTTACAATCAAAATGATATAGTTAAAGCCCTTTGTGAGAGACTTTTACAGAAGATTTTTTTTTTCAAAGAATGGTGAACATTCAAGTCTGATCATATTTGATTATTATAGAGGGCTATATTTAAAAAAGAATAGCTGCCCAAATTTCCTCCACACACGCTCTCTAAAACAAGGGCCACATTAGCAACTTCTAAATTGCTCATCTAAACCACAGTGTGACCATGGCAGGCTAACTTTTCTGAGCTTATGCTTTTTCATTTGCCAGTCACTAACTAGACTAGCAAAATGATGAACTATAGACTTTTAACACAATCTTGAGTTATAATAAGGCTGCTCTGAGAAACTATGGCCCAACTTATAAAATAATACATACTATAACATGAAACATATAATAAAAACAGGTTATTATAATAACTTTATAATAGAGCAAAGGAGCTCTGGTGGCATAGTACCTAAGGCATGTGACTGCTAACCACAAGGTTGGCGGTTCAAACCCACTAGCCACTCCACAGAAGGAAGACTGGGCAATCTACTTCCATAAAGATTTACTGCCTCAGAAACCCAAAGGGGGTCCCTATGAGTTGGAATCAACTTTATTGGCAGTGAGTTTGGTTTTGGTATAATAGAGCATGTAAGAGTTTTCAAAGTACTTATACATTATAAAGGAGCTCTGGTGGTGTAGCAGTTAAGGCATTTGGCTGCTAACCAAAAAGGTCAGTGGTTTGAACCCACCAGCTGCTCCAAGGGAGAAAGATGGAGCAATCTGCTTCTGTATAGGTTTACAGCATTGGAAACCCAATGGGGCTTGCTATGGGTTGGAAATGACTCAATGGCAGTGAGTTTGGTTAAGAAGCTCTGATAGTATACTGCTTAAGGACTGCTAACCAGAAGGCTGGCAGTTCAAACCCACCAGCTGTTCCATGGAAAGAAAATGGGGCAATCTACTCCTGTAAAGATTCACTGATTTGGAAACCCAATGGGGGCTGCAATGAATCGAAAGCAACTTGATGGCAGCGGGTCTGGTTTTGGTTTTAAACATCATAGCTCAATCTTCACAACAAGAATGTTGGGATCCAGTTCATTTTTTCAATATTCAAAAAGAAATACATGAGCCATTGAAAACACTAACTGTCCTTCAGTTTTTAAGTCAGTGAGGTTTCACTACATTAGGTAAAGTTTACATTTTAAACACAATCACCAACAAAACAAAATACTGAATTTATAGAATGAGAGCTAAGAGCGGAAGCCCTTACCAAAACCAAGTTAATAGAATTAGTACCTATAAAACTAAGCCTAAGTACCACAAATGTTGATTTTGAAGGCAAAGCTGATGACTTTCAAGAGAAAACAAACAGAACAAATCCAGCTTTGACTACCTTTTTAATTATAATACAGTGTTTCTGAAAATAAATTTACTACCAACTCTTCACCTGTTAAAAGTCAAATACTGGTCATATGGTAAGTACAACATAAGATGACGTACCAGGTAACAGCCAAGTTCCTATCTAAACTTATATGTAAGTCTGATTACTTACATTATTAACCAAAGTATCCTCCATCTTTGATGCATTATTAGTAGCCACAGTGTTAGGCAGAGAAGAAGAAGGTGTAGTATAGTCTGTTACCGACTCCTGGGGAGTATTAATAGAAAAGAATACTGAGTCACTTTCTCATGACCACCAAACAGTTGTAAAGTTATTTTGGAAGAAAGGAGAGGAGAGCAAACTCATTCAATTTATCAGTCAACAGTCAACTAAAACAACATTGCCTTACCGCTGAAAAGATAACATTTCAACCATTGCTGGGGTCTTGTACATTTAAAAGATGCACTGCATAGTACTAAGATGTTGTCAACAGTGTCAAATACTTATTTCTGAGGATTACTAAACAATCTTTCTGCCTTTCCCATAATTAATCTATGGCTTGTTTTCTGCTATTGATTTTTGTTTCTCTTCAATGTAGATAAATAAACTAAACAAATGTTAGGCTCTTAAGCTGTCACAATTAATTAGGTTTTAGGATATACTCCTTGTTTGTTCTCTTTAATGTCTTCTTTAAATATGTTACAGCTGGATCATGTAAGCTTTTTGCTTATATGAATTTAATCATATGGCAATTAAAAAGAGAAAAATATTCATGTAATATGAGAGAATTTATCTAACTTTCTTCTCAATGAACATTATGTCCCGCAGTGAACATGAAATGACAGAAAAATGTGCTGTTCCCACAATTTTCAGTTCCCGTAAGTTACTAAATATATCTTGCCTTATATAGTATCTTTAAAGATAAGCACTTTTCATTCAGCATGGTTCCAATACACAAGTCAACTATTTCCTCTGGTGCTCAACCAATGAAACAGTGATTTGCTCCAACTCTGAAAGCAAACTGGCTACTCTATAGTTAAAGAAAGCCTGCCCATCAAATGTAATAATAAAAAAAAATCACAACTTTAGATTTTTTTGTCTTATCTCCTTACTTTAAGATCTCACCAGTGGACAGGATAAGGATCCACTATACTGCTATTAGCAAAATGTATTTTAAGTAATATAGAGCAATTCTCGCAAAGTGCCTACAAACTGAAAATGAAAACCATTCCAATCTTGTGTAGGTACTTTTTAAACTACTTAAAAAGCTCAGATTTAAGAGTAAATTTCCACATGCAGAAAAAATTTATTGTGAAGAATTTTTTAGATGATTTATGAACATAAAATCTTCTCTGTAGACATAACCCATATAATCCATAGAACTATATGCCACGAGCAAAAAAGTTTACTGTTGCTGTTTTTGTCACTTAGACATAGTCTGCATCAACTGAACTAGTAATTACTGCATGTTGCTTACCTTTGCATTAGTGCCAAATTCTGCAGATGACACTGAAATCATTGTTCCTATTTCGGTAGATATTTCTGAGACAGTTTTGGTTTCCTTCGTTGTGACAGAATCTGTGCTTCTCCCTGTAGCAGGGCTTGGCTTTTCTTGTCCGTCTGGCTCCACCTGCTGGATATCTTTTACTTTTCTATTTTTTAAGGAACGTTCCTTTCCAATGGGACCAGGTTTATGTTCTTTGCTTTCTACTGGACTCAAATCTGGAAGCTAAATTCAATGTTTATGACAAGGATGGCTCATGATCAAAGACTTTTATTCAAAACTAAATTTAATTTTAAGGTGACAGCTGCTCTCTATAAGTGTTGGTGGCTTTCATATAATTCTATCTGAAATACGAATTATATTTACCTTCTGGGCTTTTATAGGTCCTGCCCGTGGTTGTTTCTGACGTTGTTCTTTGGGTTCAGGTATTTTGTCAGTAGGTTTATCCGAAAGCACAGGAACCACTTCATTTTCATTCCCATTTGAAGCTGGAGCACCAAACTGAATTGTGTCAATTCCTATTTCAACTCCACTCTCTTGACCATTCTTTGTTCCCTAGTAAGAGAATATTTAAAAACTTGTTGCCAAAATAAAAAGAGCTCAAATTTGACTGGTTTATGCAACATCACATATTTTAAATAGTAGGTTTGAGAAACCTTTAACTGAAATTAATTACTGTTTTATAACTGCCCCACAATCACTCTTGATCTGTATTAGATAACATGATAAAATGAAAACTAGGTAAGACTTGAGTTTGAAATGTCCTGGCTCTTATGAGTGCACATCACAGGCAAATCACAGCTTTAAGTTATTTCACCATTTAAAACAAAATTAAAAGCAACAAACACACACACTTAAGGCATTCAATTAAGCAGCTAATTTATGTAGCACCTTCTTGGTGCCAGGCATCCATACAAACACTATTGATTTACCTTACAGAACTTGCAGCATGTCAGTGGGTAGAGAAAATAAACAAATGAAAACTCAGACATGCAAAAATCAAAATAGATGGATAGAAAAATCTCCTTAGGAGGAGACACTGAAGCTGAATCTAAAAGACAAGGCCAGTGGAAAATGTTTTAGGCAGAGAGAATACCTAGTGTAAAGGCTGAGAATTAAAAAGGCCAGTGAGGCTGGAGCATGGCAGGTAATGGAAGTAGTAGCGGAAGGTGGACAAGCAGAGAGGCTAGACCACATATAGGGCTTTGTAAGTCAAAGGATGTTTATAGTAACTTAATATTTTCAGGAAAAACAAAGTTCAACTTCAGGCCTTGGTATTTCATCACATAGTTGAATTACTACTTAAAATCATTCTTGCCATCTCTGAAGTCAACCTGGCCAATATTGTGTAAGGCTAACTTTGTATCTGTCAATGTAACAATGCCAATGATATGAACAAGGCATGTCATTCTCATTTATTTTTAATATCTGCATATTAGCCTTCAAATATAGGCAAACATTTTTGATGTAACTTAGAGTAAAAATCTCCATTTGCTTTAGTCAAAGCTGAAATTCTACAGCCAGTTAAATACAAATGTACAGTTAGTATCAGGAGAGCAAAATGATGCAGTAATTAAACACTGAAAGTTATTAACTTTTGTACAAATATTAAGAATTAACAATAGTCAAATAGGAAAACAGATCAACAGTTAATATGACTATTAGAGAATGATAGTTTTAAGAATATTATAGACCATGACATAAAAAACTTTGATAAAATACAGTACATTTTAGACTATAATTCCAATTTTGTGAGTGTAGCTGGTGCAACTAACATTCACAGCATTAAACAAAATAACAAGAAAATAATTAAGAACTCCTTTTCATTAGGAAAAAAATCTCATTAGGGAATTCTTTCCATCTTTTAAAAAGAATTTTAAGCAAAATGTGAACTTCACTACCTCAAAATTTCACAAGGAGAAAAAGCTCCAAAATCAGGTACAATAAATACCCACACATACACACAAGAAATCACCTTCTACCCAGAAACATAACTCTCAAGTATCTTGCTCTTTCACTGATTGAAGTTGAATGCAAGCATCCTTTTAGTATTGCAAATTTGTAAAAATCTAGCAGCTGAGAGTGATAGAAAAGTATTCATGTATTTTAATGCCAGTTAGAAAACTAGACCACCAAATACTTTAACAATAAAATTTTTAACTTCAATGCACCTTTTCAAAAACAAAGAAATGCTCTGATTAATAAAAAATCTAATACAATAGGAAAAAGAATAACAGTCAATCTGAGGACCTTAAATATTGAATCCAGCAGCTCTTAATTCTAGTTGTATAAGGAGTCCTATCCAGAACTTTTAACATCAAAACAGATGATTATGTTTACTCCAGACCTACTAAGTCAGGAAATTGCTGTGGGGCCTGGGGAGAGGTGGGAAGACTTCTTTAAATGGGGGAAAAAATCCCACCTATCTCTTCACCTAAAGGAGCTCCGGTGGCACAATAGGTAAGGCATTTGGCTGCTAACTAGGTCAGTGGTTTAAACTCACCAGCTGCTCCACAGGAGGAAGATGAGGCAATCTACTTCCGTAAAGATGTACAGCCTTAGAAACCCAACGGAGGTTGCTATGAGTCAGACAGAATCAACTTGGTGGTGGTGGTGGCTATCTCGTCATCTACTGCCCCATTTCTCTGCTCCCCTTTACACTGACAGAATCACTTTGATTCTCTTGAAATATAGATTTCTGCATTCATGGAATTAGAGTGATCCACACAGGCTACCTGCCCTTATCTATTTGAGCCTTGTAGGAACTGGTTCCCTGAAGTCACCTTCAGGTGGAAAGTAGCTTGGTAATCAGCTCAGGAGCAAAGAGTGTTTTGCCTTAGGCATTAAGTTCTTTTGAAAGTTATCTATGTGCAGCTTTGAGAAGCAGGAACTCCAAGGTCTGACTAGAGGCTATTTTAGGATGTATGGCATGTGTCTGGTGATTGGTTTCTATAACCAGCCTTATGCTTTGACATCAAAACATCATCTGAGATGCCAGAACAGGCAGACAAACTACACAGACCCTCTTCAACAATGAAAAGGGGAGCCAATTAAAGATAATCCTGGGGCTTTGAAAGGAAGGATACAGAAGTAGACAAAATTCCAACTAGTAGAAGAACCTGCATGAAAACAACACCAAATAAGGAGATATATGGAGCTGATGTCTGCCAGTGAAACTGAAAGCATTCAATGCAATCCCAACCCAGATCCCATCAACATTCTTTAAGGATATGGAAAAACCAATCACCAACTTTATATAGAAAGGAAAGAGACCTCGGAAAAGCAAAGCCCTATTGAAGAACAACAAAGTAGGAGGTCTCACACTCCTGGCTCTCAAAACCTACTATACAGCCACAGTAGTCAAAACTGCCCGGTACTAGTATGATGAGTGACACACAGGCCAATGGAATAGAATTGAGAACCCAGAAATAGATCCATCAACCTATGGTCAGCTGATCTTTGACAAAGGGCCAAAATCCATTAAACAGGGAAAAGACCATCTGTTTAACAAATAGTACTGGCAAAACTGGATATCCATTTGCAGAAAAATGAAACAAGATCTGTACCTCACACCATACACACAAACTAACTCCAGATGGATTAAAGACTTAAATGTAAAACCTCAAACTATATAGTTCCTCAAGGAAAAACTAGGGGCAAATTTAGGGGTCCTAATATATGGCATAAACAGACTATCATGCATAACCAAAAATGCACAAACAGCAGAAGAGAAACTAGATGAATGGGACCTTCTAAAAATTAAGTTTTTATATGCTTCCAAACACTTCTCCAAGAGTCAAGAGAACCTACAGATTGGGAAAGAACATTTGGCAATGACATCTAATGAGGGACTTATCTCTAGAATTTACAGAAAATCCCAACACCTCAAACAAAAAGACAAATAATCCAATTAAAAAATGGGCAGAAGACTTGAATAGACACTTCATCAAAGAAGAGATTCAGGCAGCCAACAGACTTATGAAGAAATGCTCACGATCATTAGCTATTAGAGAGATGCAAATCAAAACAACAAGATACCATCTTGCCCCAGCACTAGTAGGAAAAAGTTCAACAAGACAGAAAATAACAAATGCTGGCAAGGATGTGGAGAGATTGGGACTCTCATACACTGCTTGTGGAACTGTCAGATGATACAACCACTGTGGAAAACAGTATGGCAATTCCTTAAAAAGTTGGAATTAGAAATACCATTTGACCCAGCCATTCCACTACTAGGTATATATCCTAAAGAACTTGAGAGCCAGAACAAGAACAGATATATGCACACCCATGTTCATCACAGCACTATTTACAACAGCCAAAAGATAGAAACAACCTAGGTGCCCACCAATAGAAGAATGGATAACCAAACTATGGTACTTACACACAATGGGATACTATGCAACCCTAAAGAATAACGTAGAATCTGCAAAACACTGCATAACGTGGGTGAACCTAGAGGGTATTATGCTGAGTGGAAGTAAGTCAATCACAGAAGGACAAATATTTTATCAGTCTACTATTATCAAAAATAAAGTAAAGGTTTCTATATAGAAGGAAATTTTCTTTGTTGGTTACCAGGGGTGGGAGTGGAGAGGAGGGAACACTGTTAGACAGATAGAGACAAGTATTGATTTGGGTGAAGAGAAGGGCAATGTACCAAATATGAGTGATCAACACAGTGGCATTGAGGAAAAGGAAGACAAAGAGAGGTGCATGGGAAGTACAGACAAAGATGAACCCTTCTGCACGTTCAGTACTGCATTGTCACTGATGGCAATCATTGATCTACGGGTAGATAGATGGGTGGACAGGGTGAACTATTAGGTTCACCCATGCAGAGGGGAGTGTGCCCAAGATCATGTATAAGGTTGGCAGACAATGTTTCTATAAGTGTATTTGTATGTTCTGTAACAATTCCCACGTATATAGTAGAGCTGACAAGGGGCAACATTGTAGCCACTTTTAGGCCACAGCCAGCTATCCAGGAGCGAGTAGTTGGACCTGTGGGCTCAGGACCATAGATGCATGGGACAGCAAGCTCAACTCAAGCTCAACTGGCATAACATGCTACACAAAAACATTGTTCCACATCCTACTTTGGTGAATAGCAACTGGGATCTTAAAAGCATCCAAGCTACCATCTACATGCAATGATGGGTCTCTCCTTGTCCAGAGCAAAGAAGAATGAAGAAAACGAAAGACACATGGAAACAATTTGTCCAAGTGACTGGTACACCATACGATCCTCAGCCTATATGACTATGAGGCCAGAAGAACTAGATGGTGCTCGGCTACCACTGCCAAGCACTCGGAGGGGGATCTATGCAGGAGATCCTGGATAAAATTGGAGAACAATATGGAACAAAACTCAAAATCATTAAAAAAAAAAAAAAGGACCAGGTTTGCTGGTCTGATGGAACCACTGAGACTATGGTCCCTAGCTGCCCTTCAAGTCTGAAAATGAACCCCCTCTTGTGGCTTCCAGCCAAATAAAAGACAGGCATATGAGCTGAACATTTACATTAGGTAGATATACTCCTTGGAGAGATCAATCATGGAAGAATAGAAGGGCTGTGTATGTACAGGGAGACAGTTTGGGGGGGCAGGAGTACATGGGAGGGAAGGACACAGGGAAGAGGTAACTATGGGGAGGAACTAAGAGGGGAGATGTTGCATTGTGGAAAATCGCAGTCAATGTCATGAGACAAAGTGTATATGAGCTGCTGTATGGAAAGTGAATTTGCTCTATAAACTTCCACCCAAATCACAATAAAAATTTAGGAAAAAAAAAAAAAAAAATCAATCATCTGAGACACAAACATAACAATGACCTATATAACCTGCTTTCACTGTCCCCTTTTCTGAGGGGACACGTTCAGGTGATACTGTCCAATTCCAACCATACCTACTCACAATAAGTATACTGTGTTACACTGATTTTTGGTGTTTCTCTAAGCAAATTTTATGATCAAAACTACTTCAATCCGTCATACTCAACCTTTCCTCACGTTTTTTCTTAAATTCACTCTAACAAGGCTTTCTGGCCTACTACTCCATCAACACAGCTCATGTCAAGCTCACCAGTGGTCAATTCTCAACCCTATCTTCTTCCAGTTGGCTTCCAGGACACTTCTCCAATCTCCTCTGCAGGTTCGTCCCCATTTCTCAGGGTTTGAATGCCATAGGACTTTAATTTTTTATCGTTTTCTCCAATCTAACTACTCTCATTCTCCCTTGGTGATCTTGTCCAATCTCATCACTTTAAATACCATTTTATACTGATGACTTCTAAATTCATATCTCTGAACTAGAAGTAGATCATATCCTCTGAACTACAGACTCTTATATCCAGCTGCCTATGCTTGAGATTTCTATTGAAATTTGTGATAAACATCTTTAAATCTAACATGTCACAAATTCTTCTCTCCCAACCCCAATCCATTTATAGCTTCCCATCTCAAATGATGAGAATTCTTCTCTCCCAACCCCAATCCATTTATAGCTTCCCATCTCAAATGATGCTTTTAGTTGATCAAACCACAAACTCTGCATTTAACCTTGCATTTTTGTCACACTCCTCATTCAATGCACCAGTAAATCTTTCAGCCTGACCTTCAAATATCCAGAAGCCAACAATTTATCAACATCTCTAATGCCATTTCCCTGGTTTTAGCTACCATCTTCTAACCTGGATTATTATTACAACAGCATCCTTTTTCTCTTGCCTCCTGCAGACTATTACTGACCGACCAGAGAGAATATCTTTTTAAAGTCAGATATTGTCACTCCTTTGCTCAAAATCCTCCAATATCTTCCTATCTCTTCCAGAGACCTTACAAGATTTGCTCTCTATTTCTTTTCCAACTTTAGGTATTCTCTTTCCGTATCTTATTTCACTTCAGGCACACGAGCCTCCCTGATCTTCCTCAAACACACCAGGAGTCCTCTGGTTCAAAGCTTTTGCATTTGCCACTCTCTAAACCTAGAATTCGGGAGCTCTGGTAGCATAGTGCCTAAGGCACTTGACTGCTAACCAGAAGGCTGGTGGTTCAAACCCACCAGCCCCTCCTCGGGAGGAAGACTGGGTAATCTACTTCCGTAGTGATACTGCCTCAGAAACCCAAGGAGGGGTCGCTATGAATCGGGCCCGACTCGATGGCACACAACAACAACAACAACAAACCAAAAATTCAGTTTTTCTTAGGTATTCAAATAGCAAGCTCTCTTACCCCTTCAAGTCTTTAACTTTTATCACCTCAGTAGACTTTCCAACCCTGTACCATCAAGTCAATCACAACTCTTAGCTACCCCTATATTGGGTTTCCAAGACTGTAAATCTTTATGGAAGTAGAGTCTATAATGTTCTTCCTGCAGAACACCTGGTGGGTTTGAACCACTAACTTTCTGGTTAGCAGCCAAATGCCTTACCCACTATGCCAGAAACTTTCCATACCACCCTATGTTAAAGTATCTCCACACTCCTAGGGAAATTCCTTATGTACTTTCACTGATTTCTCCTTAGCACTGATCACCATCTAACATACTGTATGTTATTTATTGTTTGTCTCCTTCCCTCTACACTACAATGGAAACCCCATGAAGGAGCTTTTTGGTCTGTTTCTTTCCCCTGTGTTTTATAAGGCCAGAGGTTAGAACAGTGCCTGGTACTTCACAGGTATTAAATAAATGTTTGCTGAACAAATGAATGGAGCACTAGTAATCTTTACAGTATTTATCAATATTGTTTATTTTGAGAAATTATATTGAACCACCACCACCTTCTACAAACTCTGCTTCTAAGTAATTATACTGTCCAATACAAGGTAAAAAAAAAATGTAGAAAAATCAAAATAATAGTAAATTGCATTAAAACACAAACAACAAAATAAAAATCTTGCCTAGGAATAAAGCACAGAAGGCACTAAGGGATAGGAAAGAAGGATGAATAAAAATGGTAAACACAGGGAGGAAGTAGGAAGAGTGCTGGTACATTGTGGGGATTGCAATCAATATCATAAAACAAAATGTGTATGTATTATTGAGTGGAAAACCAATTTCATCTGCAAACTTTCACCCAAATCCCAATGAAAAGTTAAAAACAAAAACAAAGCCCCCCCAAAATAATAAAACTCATCAGTATCACCTGGTAACTGGTTAGAACTGTACTCAGGTCACGACTCCACACTAGTCAATCAGAAACTCTGGGCTTGGGGTCCAATAATCTGTTTTAGTAAGTCTTCCCTCTAGATTGATTATGATACATGCTAAAGTTTGAAAAACTGTTTGAAGGAAAAGTCTGCCACACCAACCACACCAAATCCATTCTATTCCTACCTCTGATGCAGTAGTTGATCCAAAAGATGTTAAGGGCTTATTCCATGCACTGACTGAAGGTGGCTGTGGTGGACTAATGGGACCTACTGAAAAGAATGAGGCCAGTGAGTCCTAATCTGTTAAATCTTTTCTCTTAATGTTAGCCAGACAATGAAACAATGACTTTTCATACCATACTTCAAGAAATTCTTGTACCCCAAACTAAATATTTTAAACCCATTGAACTTTATGGTTATTTTAATAAACACAAAACTATGTCCATGAAAACACAACATGGTTCTTAAAAGTACAAAATGCGTATTCTAGAAACAAAGATTTTTAAGATAGGAAGCTAAGAAATGATTACTGCTTCCTATTAAGAAAAAATGATACAGCTAGAAAAAACTGAATATACAAATGAAACTGAAAAACAAAGAACCCAAAACCTAATAGTCCATGCTATTCTTCCCCTCTCATTTCTCTGTTGCAAACTTACATTTCTTAGAGATGTCATTCAGTACAGTGGGTGGGGCCACCTTGTTATCCCACAATTCAGCTGTAAGAGTACCATGGGATTGAGAGTTCTGGATGGATTTTCCTGTGGTTACATAATCTGTGCCATTAGATGTCTGAGCTGAAGGCAGCCTGATTGAAGGTGGAGGTTGCTTTGAAGTCTGTGTTGTAGCCTGGAGTGAATTTTGCACTGGTTTGTGAGTCTGTGCTTGAATATGGGCTGGGGCAGATGGGACTGGGGCTGGAGCTGAAGCTGGGGCAAGTGGGACTGGGGCAGGTGGACCTGAAGCTGGGGCAGGTGAAGCAGGGACTGTTGAGGCAGTTGGGGCTGATACTGTTGTGGCTGGAGTTGGAGTTGAAGCTGGTGCTAAGGCTGAAGCAAGGATGGGAATTGAGGCTGGGGCTGAAGCAAGTATGGGGACTGAGGCTGGGACTGAGACTGAGGCAAGGATGGGGGTTGGGGCTGGAATTGGGACTGAGACTGGGACTGGGACTGGGGTTGGGGCTGGAACTGAGGAAGAGGCTGTGCCTGTGGCTGAGGTGGAGGCTAGAACTGGAGCTGAGGTCGAGATTGGAACTGAAGTAGAGGATGAGGCTAGAACTGGAGCTGAGGTCGATGGCAGAACTGAAGCCAAGGTTGATGCTAGAATTGGAGCTGAGTTTGAGGCTGGAACTAGGACTGAGGTTGAACCTGGAACTGTAGCTGAGGCAGAAGCTAGAACTGTAACCGAGGTGATAGCTGGAGCCAAGGCTGAAGATGGTGCTTGTTGGGTCCCTGCAGTCTGTTTTTTGGCAAATCTCGGAGGAAGCTTAGATGCCTGACTTCTTCCTTTTTCGTTTGCATTCTTTTTGTTCCAGACCTTAAAAAAAATTGGCAGGAATCATTTCTGTCAAATGCAGCTGAAAGCAACAATTCATAAATGCAATTTCTAATGGAACTACCTGATACTAATTTGGCTCCTTTGTTTTTCAAAATATATACTCTACTCCACTAAGTGAAAATGTCAGGGTTGCTAATGACATTTTAAATTATGAGAAGCCATGATGATGTAAGGAAAAAAGGCAAATATATATTATACATTCTTGATATATGGGTTCAGAATTTTTTTTCCCCTTAATTTTGAAATCTAGCATACTAAAAAAGTGTGCAATAAATTCATTTGGGATCAAAAGCTGATATGAATCGACAAAAAACTATTACCTGCCTTCATTCAATTCATGTCAACCATAGAAGCATTAATTCCAAGAGTGTTGCTATTGTGTATGCACTACCATATTACCTATCTAAAATAAAACATTAAATGGGAATTAAGGTCCCATTTAATAATTTTTACAACAATTGCTCCATGCGATTGTTTACAATTTTCATAAAGTGTTACCATTATCCTTATTTCCATTCCGTTTGTTCTGTTTCCATTGATCTAATTTCCCTTCCCCTCCTTGCCTTTTCATTTTTGCTTTTGGGCAAATGTTGACACTTTGGTCTTATACAGTTAATTGTTTAAGGGGTACATTACTCTCAGGTGATACTGTTTATTTTATAATCCAATCTATTGTTTGGCTGAAAGGTGAGCCCCAGGAGTGATTTCAGTTTTAGGTTAAAAGGGTATCTTAGGGCAACAGTCTCAGAGGTTCCTTTTCAAAAGTGAATTTGAGTTTTGTTCTTTGTTTTTCTCCCTTTCTAACCAGGACCTTCTATCGTGTCCCTGGTTGGAATGGTCAGTAGTAATAGCTGGGCTGTGTTATATTTATTTTTATCTTGTCAACATTAAGCAAAACTGTGTTTGGCTTGTGTTAAATATAATAACTGATCTTGATTCATACTGTGTAAATAAACTTATTTAGATCACAATAAAAAACTTGTATAGTCTAAGAATCTGTAATCTATTAGATCATGGCAACTGTTTTCATTAGGTTTCCAAGATAATTTTAAATTACCTCTGTAACTTTGCTGTGGTACATGATAGGGCAAATAAGATAATTAGCTCCAAAACAGAAAAATTTTGAATTAAAGGTAAATGGTGAGCTATAGTGATTATATTCTATTTAAATTTTACATCATCTCCTTCAAAACAGTTGAAAGTTATGAAAATCAAGTCATTCTCAACACCTGAATAACAGAAACAGCTTTGCCTTTATAGGTAGAAAAGTTGATGCTTTGCTGATACACAATGGCCAATAATGTAAATAATTAACAAATTGAAACAAGTTTTAAACCTGTATGATTTGTTCTTCCTTCTTTCGGCGTTCTTCATCCTGTAAACGTTTTTGTTGTTTTTTGGACACCACTTCAGTAAATCCATCATCATTCAAATTTGACTGGGGATCTTCAACTACTGTTACTTCAGGATGATCATCAATTATAACCACACCTGAAGGTATCAAAAAAGATCCAAAATGACATTCTGGTTTTACACTTGAAGAGTGAAATAAATGTTTCAATGCAATAGTATGCTTGTTTAGGTCAATGGTACTTAAAAAAGAAAAAGAGACAAGCCAAAGATAATTCCACAATATAATCCATCTCCCATTTTCTACATCGTAAGATGACCATTCGTTAGTAAAATGACTTAAGAACCAAGATTTGAAAATATTTCAGAAACAAGGTTCAAAATAAAAGGCCTAAAACTATCTGCTCAAACTATATACATTTCTATTTACTTACTTTTGTTGTCTTAAGTAATATAGGAGAAATGCCTAATAATCAAAATTATCCTATGACCTTAGTCAAATTATTTAACTTCTACCTCTCTCATCTCAGATCTGGCACAGTGGATTACATATGCATGGTACTTTACCTCATTTGAAAGTAATCATTCTAAGAATTGAGTATTACTATCATTTCCCTTTTTCAAAGGATGAAGTCATTTCAGAGAGGCTACTAGATGAGAAAGTCACCAGACTAATTGGTCTTGTGACTCTTAATACCTCTATTTTATGTAGACTCTTATCTACAACTTGAAGTTATTAAAAAAAAAAAAAGTATATATATATGAAGTTCCACATAAATTCAAGCAGTATATTATATATACATCATAATCATCTAGGAGATAAATAACTTAAGATATATTTCCAACTCACTGTACAACTAACTGTCATTTTGGTTATCCTGTTACAAATTATCATATACTCCAATGAGTATAAGAAATCAACATCCATTAAATATTACTACAAGGAAAAATAAATTTGGTGAAGGTATACAATTTTTGGTAATATGTATAATGTCTGCACAATACAAATAAATCAAGAAAAAAAGGTGAGGCAATTCAAAAAAGTTAGTATTTCAATTCTGCAAGCAATTTATAAAACATTTTAACTGGGTAACACATACACAATAAAATAATTGATCTGCTTGGGAATGACAAATACACAATTCAGAATAGTGCTTTTTTGAGGATGCCAAGAGGATATGGCCAGGGAGAGAAATTAATCTCCAAACAAATTAAAAAATAGCTGAAAATTTGAATTTATGTAAGACTGAGAGTAAAAATGAAAAAAAAAAAAAAAAGACTAACACTGGTTCTCATCTCATTCATTAAAAACCTATTACTACTACTCTGTTTTGCTAATAAAAACTTAATTTCAAAGGGAAAAAGAAATCAATTGCTCCAGATTTATCTAAGACATTTTAGTGTTTTAAATTCAGAAATTATTAACTCCATAAAATGGAGTACATGCTCATTCTGATAAAGTCTTAGTCAAACATTTTAAAAGATGTCATACACTCTATCATTTTAAACTGAAGAAACTTTGTTCGTAATTCTAAATTCATCTCAGTTTTTCACACCGACTAAAGAGTGTGTGTGTATGTTTTGAAAGCTTGTCTTTACAACTCTACCTTTACTCATCATTTAGCTTCCTAGAAAGGAGCTCCTTTAGAATCTTTTCAAGTTGGTTAATCCAACCATACACAGTATTTATTAAATTTAAGCAACATTTTCTTTTTGTTTTCAATACCCTGTTCTTGACTATGTAACATTTTGGGCTACACAGTTACTATTCAAACTGATGTTATTAAGGAAACAACTTAAAGATGCCTCTTAAGCATACTTAATATAAGATTTTGGAAAATTCCTACTACAAAAGTTCTTTGGAAGAAGGAAAACTGATAGAAAATTTTTGGTAAGCCAAGTGTGTCATTTTTATTCACTTGTCATTTTCCAAATATCTGGTATTTAGATATTAGTCTCTCCCTCATAGTCCATGACAAGGTTAGCAACCAAACTTCTCAAGGATTTAACTATTCCCTCTGGAGCTCTGGTGGTGTAGTGCCTAAGGCACTTGACTGCTAACCAGAAGGCTGGTGGTTCAAACCCACCATCCACTCCTCAGAAGGAAGGTTAGGCAATCTACTTTCATAGTGATACCACCTCGGGATAGTCAGTTTCATTACCTGAATGAATAGCAAGTAGCACTTTTTTACATGTGTAAGTGTCTATCCTATTGAAGATCAAACTATAGCCTTCATTATGGATTACACCTCAACATAAAGAAACAAAGATCCTCACAACCGTACCAATAAGCAACATTATAATAAATAGCGGGAGCTCTGGTAGCATAGTGGCTAAGGCACTTGACTGCTAACCAGAAGGCTGGCGGTTCAAACCCACCAGCCACTCCTCGGAAGGAAGGTTGGGCAATCCTACTTCCGTAGTGATACTGCCTCGGAAACCCAAGGAGGGGTTGCTATGAGTCAGGGGTGACTCGACGGCACACAACAACAACAACATAATAAATAGAGAAAAAGAATGAAGTCAAGGGTATCATTTTACTTGGATCCACCATTGACACTTACGGAAGCAGCAGTCAAGAAATCAAACAATATATCGCACTGGGCAAATGTCTTACAAAAGATCTCTTTTAAACCGTTAGAAAGCAAAGACGTCACTTTAAGGACTACAATACCCAGAAGAACTAGATGGTGCCAGGGTACCAATGTCAACCACTTGGAGGGGGATCTATGTCGGAGACCCTGGACAGAGAGGGAGAATAATGTGGAACAAAACTCAAAAGCATTTGGAAAAAAAGGGGGGGACTCAAGTTAGCTGGTCTGATAGAGCCTGGTGGAGCCACTGAGATTTATGGTCCCTAGCTGCCCTTCAGGTCTGGAATTGAACCCACCACACCTGTGGCTCCCAGACAAACAAAAGACAGACATATGAGTTGAACATTTACCTCAGGTAGATACACTCCTTGGAGTGAACAATCATGGGAGAAAGAAGGGCTGCTTATGGATAGGGAGACAGGTCAGGGGGCAGGGGTGCATGGAGGGATGGACACAGGGAAGAGGTGGCTGTTGGGAGGAAGTGGGAGGGGAGCCGTTACATTGCGGTAAATTGTGGTAAGTTATGAGACACAGTGTATGTGAACTGCTATATGGAAAGTGAATTTGCTCTGTAAACTTTCACCCAAATCACAATAAAAAATAAAAAAAGGACTACAGTATACTTGATGACCCAAGCCACAGTACTTTGAATTGCTTCATATGCATATAAAAGCTGGGCAATGAGTAAGGAAAAGTAACGAAGAATCGATGCCTTTGAATGGTGTTGGCAAAAAAATACTGAATATACCATGGACTACCAGAAGAATGAACAAATCTTAGAAGAAGTATAGCCAGAATGCTCCTTAGAAACGAGGATGGCAAGACTTTGTCCCACATACTTTAGACATGTTAACAGAAGTCCCTGGAGAAGGACATCATGCTCAGTAAATATGCTTGGTAAAGGGTCATTGAAAAGAGGAAGACACACAATGAAATGGACTGACAGAGTGACTACAACAAAGGGCTGAAACCAGCAAAGATTGTGAGGTTGGCACAGGATAGGGCAGTCTTTTCTGCTGTACACAGGGACTTGTATGACTTGGAACCGACCTGATGGCACCTAACAACAACAACAACAACAAATATCTGTCCACATAGTACTTGGTAGTTTCCCTACGCAGCATTTTCTTGCTGCTTATGTTGTAGTTCACAGTTGATACTGTATCACTTCATGGCTTTTCTGAAATACTTACCTACAGCAATAATATGTCCTTCTATTTATTCTCTATTTACTATATCCTAAGTATTAATTTTCTTTATCTTAAGACACAACCTATATACAAAAAAACCCCAAAACCCCAAACTCCCAGCCTCTATACAGATATCACTGATATTAATTATTTTACTTTTGCTTTCTGTGTTTTGCACACCTATTTGGCAAAGTAGGGTAATTACTTAATTTTCTCCTTTTTAAAGATGTACAGCAAAAATCTGTGAGTTACTTCTAACATAAACATTAGCAAGCATTCAATGTTATGCTGAAACTGGAGTTATTCTAGTTCACTAAATCAGTGATTCATAAACAACCTGTATTTCCACCTTGAAGATCCAACTCTCTCCTTCTCTGATGACTTGTTAGCTGTTGTCAAATTGGCCCTGGACTCTTGGTGATGCCATGCACAACAAAACCAATTGCTGTCTGGACCTGTGTCATCCCCAAGATTGGCTATAGATCAGATTGTTGGGATCTATAGGGTTGATTTTCAGTATGTCTTAGTCTGGAAGCTCTGCTGAAACCTGGTCAGCATCTTTGCAATATGGAAAACTATACATTAATGAAGTGCACTGACTGGGAACTGAATCCGGGCCTCCCATGTGGAAGTCAAGAATTCTACCACTGAACCACCACTATCGCCCTCTCCTTGATTACTAGGTAACTCTGATAGCATCTACTTAAGATGTTAAAAAAAAAAAAAAAAGGTAAAGGAATTTAAGACATACTTGCATAATTGTTGAGATCAAACTGTGAGAGAGCATCTACTTTCTCTTTGGGTTTTTTGGGACCTGGTTTGGGATCTTCTCTTTTTTTCCCAGTATTATCTTTGGAGTTCTTCTGTCCTGTACCATTAGGTGCTCCCTCCTGGTGATGTGCAGAGCTGCCATTGACAGGGTCAACACCACTTGTGCCTGTAGATTGGTCATCAAATGGTCTACAAAATAATAATAATATTACTTCCACATACTCCCTTCCTCAAAATATCAACATTCTTTTTCTTCTCTTCTCAAACACTCTCTTACTAGTAGTTTCTAAAGTTCAATCTAAGAAACAGTATTGAGCTAGAAGACCCTAAATCTCCTAGCCTCTGTGATGTGTTGAGTATAACCTCACTAAAACTGAGCCTCTCCAAACAAGGAGACAGACTAGCTCCTAGAGTTCTTTCCAACAATAAACTCCTAGGGTTCCAGTTATCCCCTGAAGGTTTCTATTGTGACTGATGCCCTTCATCATGTCATAGATGAGCTAATCTACATTGGTTATAACACAAAACTTTTGTGATCCAAGCTAAAATATTCACAACTGGATTTTCTCCGTAAGTAGGTAGCATTATGAAAATAACATTTTTAAAAAGGGTTCTATGTTTACATTCCAAACCAAAAACCAAACTCACTGCCACTGAGCTGATTCTGACTCACACCGACCCCCACTGGGTTTCCAAGGCTGTAAATCTTTACAGAAGCAGATTACCTCATATTTCTTTTGTGGAGCAGCTGGCAGGTTTGAACCACCAACCTTTATGGTTAGCAGCCAAATGCCATAACCACTATACCACCAGAACCCCTACGTTTACATATTTTTTAAAGGTTCAATCATATTTACACATTAAAGTAAACACATAACATTTTTTTAATATGGAAATAATTCATTTCCTAAATCAAATGTATTCTTAAAATTTTGTTGTGAATTAAGTAATTCTCTTCTGAGGTTTATTAATTCATCTTAGACTATAATACCACTCAAGATAAAAGCTTACTAAGTGCCTGACACAGGGAATGCCCTCAAAAATTTGTTTTTAATACACCTGCTATTTCTAAAGGTTCATAGTTGTTATCTACACAGCACAAAAATTGGATCAAAATTTCCCTTAAGCACCATTACTTAAAATTCTAATAGTTCTTCAGTACAGTCAACAAACTACTCTGTTCAGGACTTTTTCCAATCCGATTCTCTTGGACCTTTAAAGAAGGGAGATTCAAATTCAGGCAAGTGGGTACTTGTTGTTGTTGTTGTTGTTATGTGCCGTCAAGTTGGCCCCGACTCATAGCGACCCCTCCTTGGGTTTCCAAGGCAGTATCACTACGGAAGTAGGATTGCCCAACCTTCCTTCCGAGGAGTGGCTGGTGGGTTTGAACCGCCAACCTTCTGGTTAGCAGTCAAGCGTTTTAGCCACTATTAGTGTGTACTTAGGAAACATAAATGGTCACAATTATTTCCCTGAAACTTATAGAGCATATACTGAAAGTAGCTTTCTATGTACCAGGTATTATGTTAAGTGCCTCACAGATGTCAATTCAGTAATCTTGACACATTCTTGTAGGTACTATTACTGTCTTCTCATTTTACTGTTAAAGCAGCAAAGAGTTTATAGAACTTAGAAGTACCATAGCCTAGATTTGAACCCAGGCATTCTGATTTTAACTGCTATTCTATGCTTCCTAACACTTAAGGTATCATTACTACTTTGCTATAACCAAGATTTTAATATTGAAAAGACTGTCATTATGTCATTAATGGTCTTCCACTCCTCGATTAGATCCATGGGAAACACTTTCTTGGAAGGAAGACTAGACTGGGCAATCTACTTCCACAGAGATACCACCTCAGAAAACCAAGGAGGGGTCACTATGAGTCAGGATTGACTTTTTGGTAAGAGTTTTTGGTAAGATTACTTATCAAATGGAGGATACTGTACATGTCCCTACCTAGGTATGCAGATTTCATCAAAGCTATAAGTTTCCAAAAAGACCTTGTGGAAAATGTAATTTAGCAGGCAAAGATTCCTGAGACACAATTAACCTCTCTTCCTCAAGCAACCTTACATTTTGACAACAGAGAAAATAATCTGGGGAGAACAATGTCTTGGTCCTCTATCTAGACTGGCCTCTTTGCATAGTTCAACCTAGAAGACTGTCTTTAGGTTTTTTAGAAGTATGAAAGTAGTTACATGTAAAGCAAAATACTCACCCTCTCTTCCCACTTTTTGATGGCGGGCCACTTCTTCTTTCATTCCTAGGACCTGAGAAATTCCTTCCTGATTTGGGTGGGCCATTGTTGCTGCGCCGATTCTGGCGATCTACTCCAGGTCGCTGACTAGAAAAACTTCTCTTTGCTATTTCCCTCTTTGGAGGTAAAACATTCTCTCCACCTTTTACAGCTGTTTGTGCATTCAAATCAGCATTTTTTTTTTCATCCCTCTCCCGCCTCTCATTGAAATCACTGCTTTCAGAAGCTGTTTCCCATTCTTCATTTGCCTGATCTGAAGAGTTTTGATTAGATAAGTCTGGTGTCTTATTCCCAGAAACATCCCCAGCAGTACTGACTGGTTCTTGAACCATGTTGTTAACTGCGCCATTTGTAGGCAATGTCACCTCATTTGTTTTAGAAGCAGCCTCCCTCTCTCTTAGTCGTCTAAACCGAGGTGGCTTATCTTGCCTTGGTGGTCGAGTAGGGCGTTGCCTTCGTGGTCTCTCCCTAGCTGGGTCAAATTTTCGCTCAAATTTTGGAGGCCGTTTATCTGCTGATATTGGAATAAATTGCTCATGTCTTCTGGGTGGCTCTCCATCTTCTGGTTTAGGAGCTTCTGTCTGCCTTGGGTTCCATTGATTGTCCCTATAGGTAGGCCTTCGTAAGGTGGGGGGGCGTGATGGGCGACCTCCAGGATCCCTTCCACCACGTCTGAATGTTCCACCTCTGCCTCGCCTAGTTGGCTCTCCTTTAGGAAGGAAGCCTGGTTTAGATTTATCATCGTCCCTCATAAAAGGTTTTTCAAGTGGTCTATTATCTATTCGGACATGATTTTCAGGCTTGAAAGAAGATTGAGGCTTTATAGGTTTTTTGTTTTCAGATCGTTCCTCTCTTTTGGGGAGTTTACCTTTGCTTAAACTATCCTTGTCACTTGCACTTTCATGAATTTCACTGTCTGTGTCAGTTTCTGAACCTCGCTGTCTTCTTCTTTTAGGGACAACTTCAAAATCAGAGCTCTCACTTCGTGTTTCACTTTCTTCTCGCTGCCTGAGAGGCCCAGAGGGCACATGCTCTGTTCTTGGCTTAGTGTCTCTATACTGAGGATAATCTCTAGTGTGCCCTCGACCACCTCGGCCACGCCCTCCGTAAGAGCCTCTATAGCTCCGACCCCTGGAGTAATATTCACCTCGGCCTCGACCTCTGTATCCTTGATCTGGAAACCAATCTCTGTCTCTAGCTTCTTTCCAGTAGGTGCGAGGAGTTTGTAAAATTGACTCTTTTTTAACTGTTGGTCTTGAATCTGGTCTAGGCCTTTCTAAAACAAGGTCTTTAGTGATGATTTTCTCAGGTTGTTTCTCTTCTTTGACTGTTGGTGCTGAGATAGTTTGTTGGTTTACAGTTTTAACTGAAGGCTCTACTTGAACACTATTTGGAGGTTCCAAGGGCTTCTCAGTATCTTGACATGGCTTTTGAACCAAAGCTGAAGTTTCTGTTGAAGGTTTCTCTAGTTCTGGTTGAGGTGGTGGTGGAACTGACTGTTGTTGGATTGGTGCTGGGGGTGGAGGAAGAGGATCCTTCTTTTCTGTCTTTTCAGGTTTCACAACTTTTTCTGTGGTCTTTTCTCCCTCTTTCTCCTTCCTTTGCTCCCGTTCCTCTTTCATATCTCTAAGTATAGGTTTTTTAATGGGACCTGATCTTCTCACAGGCCTATCATTACCTTCTTCTCGTCTGTTGGAGTTTGGTCTTGGGCCCCAACGAGTTTCAGATTTGGATTTATACAGTTTTTCAGGTTTTGGTCCTTCAGAAGATCGTATGAAGCCATCCTTTTTTGGTTTTTCCTCTGGTCTTTCTGCTGGTTCTTTTGAATCAATGCATCTGTTAGTTACTTTAGGAATGCTTGCAAATGGCTCATTTCTTTGCTCCTCTGATTTTTGAGTATGGTTAGATCCATGGGAAACACTTCTTTTCCGAACAGGCTGACTTTCTGCAGCTGAAATCCGCTCCTCTTGAGAAGCAGGTATAGTCTTTTGATCAGATACTTCAAAACAAGTAGACAGATTGTTTGTGTCAGGATGGTGAGGTCTAATGTCTTCCACAGATCTGCTTAGAAACTTCTGTGCTTCTGTCTCGCTTGATTCTCTGAGAAATTCTGCTTTTGGATGGGACTCCAGTTGACTATGTTCTCCAGTATAAACAGCCGTAATCTGTTCTTGTTCCAAAGAGGCTTCAGGCCTATGATAAAGAGAATTAAAATACAAAACCAACAAAGCAAAATCTTTCCCACAAATAACTGTACAGCAAAATAGTCACTCTAATTTTAAAATATGGAAACAATGAATCCCAATCATGAAGAGCATTTTTATCTCTCTATAAGAAATTAGGAACATAATGACACAAATACTATAAGTCTAACCGTCCCAATTAATTAGAAATTATAAAACTTTATCAACAAATATAGCCCTTAAAAGGACAGACATTCTAACGATCTGGCTATAAACTGAGAAACTACCATCTGCTACTTCAAAATCTTTATAAATCATGATTTCTCCTTATCTTTGTCTTAGAAAATTTCTAAAAGATGTGATAACTAAATATCCACCATATCTCACTAGTGAACATCAACACTTTAGTCAGACTACATGAAAAGCATGTTAGACACACTTAAATTTCTTCACATCTAATTTACAGTAAAACCTTGCCAACTTTTAACACTAAGCACTGAATTTTAGCATTTAACTCAGTAATATACCACCAGGTTGCAAAATGCCCTAATCAACTCAGAAATGCAGGAAAAAAGAAAATACGTTAAAAAATGAAATGAAGCTTATTATACAGAATGAAATCAGAATTATGGTTCAATCCTAAATCTGAATAGTCTTTACGGATATTACACAGTTTTCTTTTCATCACCAAGTTCTATTTAGTCTATCAATAATTTTAATAATCTATTACCTTACATCCTCAGGTTCTTCTGTTATCTTGGGAGTAGTTGCCTGCTGAGGCTCACCATGAGGATAGGGATCTGACCCCCACATCATACGAGGCTCAGAGAGGGAAATGGCATGGTCTCTTGTAGATCGAGCTATATGCTCAAATGACTCAGAACTGCTTGGTGACCCTTCCATCTGGTCTCTTCTCATTAATGGCTTAGGAGGAATCATTCCTGTAATAGAAGTTCAGGAAAAGATGAAACAAGAATTAGAAAAAATGAAAGTAACAAAATCATGACAGGCATAAAACCAAACTCATTGCCACCGAGTTGATTCTGACTCATAGGGACCCCCTCTGGGTTTCCGAGGCAGTAAATCTTTATGGAAGTAGATTGCCCAGTCTTCCTTCCACAGAGTGGCTGGTGGCTTTGAACCGCCAACCCTCCTGTGAGTAGTCAGAAACCTTAGGCATTACGCCACCAAAGCTCCCATGATAGACAAAGAATCTAGATTATTAATTGCTATTTGGAATTCTCTACACTCAAGTTAAACATATGGAATACATACATATACAAATATACATACATACATTTATTTATTTAGCCCTGCGCCAAACTTATTAATTAACAAAGTATCAGTGGCAACACTGGGTAATTTGACTCTATGCATATCAATACATAGTAATACATCATGAGAATTATATCAACGTTGATAAATTATCAGAGAAAATATTTCCTACAGCAGATTCCATTAATGTAGTTTAATCAGCTGATCAATATTCTATAAATTATGTTGCAAAAATTTAAAGTTTCAGCGTAAACTTTTAAACTGAAGATTTGATTCTTGATTAGTTTTTCAGTCCTAAATTTTCCTGCATGCCATTTTGATAAATGATTATCTAGACTTATTCTAATGGATTCCATAAAAGACTGCTAGTTCATGTACTTAATAATCTATAAGGAAATTCAAATGGTAGGCTGATAAATAATGGAGAAAATTGAAAGGCTGGAATACATGTGGACAAAATTTAAATGCTGAAATACTTATTAAAAGGACTAAAACAATGTAGCCAACAACAGATGATGAATAATTTTGGTCTCAAAAATAGTACTTACAAAATAGAAGAGAACTAACATTTTCGTCTTACCATACAACCGGTACAAGTGTCTGGCATTTAACTATTCTGTGTTGAAAGTAAGTTACAGTTTTATGATTAAAAACCTAGAGGTCCTATATAAGTTCTTACTAGACTAAAATCTCAAAGGAAATAAGACTAAAAATGGACAAAACAACAAAAAACTTTGATCCTGCAATAATTGTTGGCGAGCCATGAGACAATGCCAATTTCAACTAACCAGGATGAATGGGTGGAATATCCATAGGAGGTCTTCCTGACATCATGCGAGGATCCATATATGACTGCATCATGAGCCACCTTGGATCAAAACCCATAGAAGCCAAATGCTGAGGATGAGGCTGCATAGGCTGGTAAAGAGGTCTGTGTGGTGGTGGAGGAGGGACTGTACCACTGGATGGTTGTGAAGAAACAGTTTGTGGAAGTACACCTTGCTGTTGCTGCTGCTGCCACTGCTGCTGTTTCATTTGTTCCTGAAATAGATGCCACATCTTGAGATTTCAGTTCCACAACATAATAAATTAATCCAACCTATCACATCAAAAAATAGGTTTCTAAGTGTTTGAGAGCAAAGCAGGAATCTAAAAGATGTAGAAGTGGTAAGACAAAAGAACAAAGGATAAGTTATAACATACTTATAACTTAGCCCCATACGTGACTAAAACAAACTACATACTACACATTCATTATTCCGTATAATCATTTCCTAATACGTACATGAAGCAAGGGAAAAAAGGAATGAAAGATGGCCAAGGAAAACCCATACTGACAAAGTTTTATTAAAAAGGAAATTAATTTCAGAGCAAATTTGTATGCTTTGTGTACTTTAGGTTTTATGTCAAATTAATTTCTCAAACCAGTGCACTAAACCTTTTCAAGCATATGTACGTAATAAAATGCTTTTACCCTTACCTGTTGCCGCTGGAATCGTGGGGGTAAAGACTTTTGAAACTGTTTGAAATAGCCAGATAATACAGCAGGCCGAGGTTGAGACCCTGATTCTGGTTCTGTTTCGTGAGCCAACTGTGTGGTTTCTTTTTCACTGCGATTATTGTCTTGTCTACTGAAAACTGGCTCATCCTCTGCCCAAAGAAAATGTTAAAGAAAATTGTCTTCATCCATGATACTTACTAAACATGTGATTTTTAGTCATTAGGTTTCAGTCATTACAATGGAACGATCAGATTGAGGTATAATAAAATTCAGTGAGGAAGAAGGTAACCTCAATAGTCCAATATACTGTTTTTTTCCTAATATTGGTAGCTACTGATGAGGTAATGTTTGATTACCAAAACCTAAGATTTCTTCAATGATGGGTTCTTAAGATAAAGACCACATGTTCAAACGTCTCACCATGCAAAAATTAGCATGTGATTATTTTGCGCTAGTAACACATTTCAAACTTTACCTGTTTTTCATTTATTTCAATAAATATCAGTACAGCTGTTGATATGTACCTGTGGCTCCCTAAGACCTCTGTGACAAGAGAAATGACCTACAAATACTTAAAACAGAGCACAGGAGTTTCTGCATTTTTTTTAATGGATCAAGGGACTATATTATCTATAAAGAAAACTAAAAATAGTAAGTTTAAGCCTAAGGAAATGGACTGATCACCACCTATCTTTAAACATATAAATAATAATTCTATAAAAAGGGTGTCAATTTTGATACTTATAATAATGTATGAGAAGCACAAAGACAGCCTCCTCTCCCCAAAAAAGGTATTCCATTCCAAGGGAATTGAATCATATTCACTCTAGAGCATGTAATTTGTCATAATTATAAAGCTGTGTTTACCAATTCTTAGATGACTAGGGATGAATTTTAAAAAAATATATTTATCAATGGAAAGTCAAGCTATAAAGAATTACAAATTACATTTTTCACATCTGTATTGCATTCAATATTAAAGAACTATAAAAGGGAAAAACAATATATTGGAGGGGAAAAAAGAGAGCCAAGTAGGCATAACACTTAAAACTAAATGGTTTTAATTGTATCTCAATGATAAATTTAGCTAAATTAGTATGAGCCAATGCATGAAGTGTGAATGAAAATAAAAGCAACTAAAGAAAGATTACTAAAAAGAAAATAAGAATTTATGCAGACACAGCCAGTACTGAAAATTAAAGTAATTTATATAAGCTCAACACAGTTATTCAGTGACAGAATTAGAAGAAATATATAAATTTCCTCATTTCTAATTTGCAGTCCTTTCCCATTAACTGATTGTTAACCAGGTTCCTTAAGCTTGATCTCTTTTAGCACTTATTAATATTATGTATTATGTACATGACAGGTTTTTTTTTTTAATTTCTGTTGGAACAATTTGACTTTTACTGGTGTTTTGAGATTCTTGTCAATTGCTTATTATATATAATAAAAGTCCAATACCAAAATCAAGTTTTCTGTAAATTGATTAATAAGAAAATTTACAAAATCTGATCATCAAATCTATAGCCAAATGATCCACATGACCTTATCTCATTATCAAAAAGTCGAGATAAAATAGTCTTAGTTTTTTAGCTACACTAAGAGCCAAGTTCGAAGGTAACTTGGAATATAAATAAAAAATTTAATTCTTAAATAGGTTTATAATGTAACTTTAAACAGCAAGGACTTAGAGAAAAAGCATGGATTCAGAGTCAGAAAAATTGTATTTCTATATCAGAGACATACTATTTCTACTATCACTGTTTTAACTGAAGCTGCTCATTAAGACTGAACTTTACTACAATTTAGTAGCAAGGTTTTATACTATATTTTAATTCCATTAATTAGAGTCTGTAAGCCAATTTGGAAAAGAACCAAAAAAAGTTGAGTAGATCTAGAAAAAGACTTTAAAAAAGTATTAATTGTATAGAAATTGTAGTCTGGCAAGCATTATTAGCTATGCTACGGAAATTATATATTCAAGCTGGTAGAAAAACAAATCTGAAATTACAAAACGGGTGGGGTTATTTAACTATGACAATGTAACATTTTCATTAAGCTCTCTTCTAATAAATTTCTAGAGGTGAACAAATGAGACTTCCATGCATGTAAACAAATGGTATCTTTCTTCCCCAAATTAAATGATTCATTTCTAGTAACACCTTTTTCTATAATATAAAAAAATGAAAAAAAAAAAAAAAAGGAGGGCCCTCAAGACCACGTTTTGTACTACAAATCTATCTTAAAACAATCAAGTTGACTTAGATAACACACATTAAACACATATACACACACACAAACGGTACTAAGAAACTTTTTGTAAAGTATCATACCTTTAGTACAGTTGTTTTCATTTTCTTGTTTTTCTACCACAGGCTCTAAAGCAGGTTCTTTGGGCTCAACTTTTTCCTCTACTTTTTCCCTTTCCTTTTGTTCTAGCTCACATTCCTTCTCCTGTTCTCTTGTCTTTTGTAGTTCTTTTTCTTTCTCCTGCTGCTGTTCCAGTTCTTTCTCTTTTTCTTGCTTTCTTTCTTTTTCCATTTCTCTTTGGCTTTCCTGTTCCTTCTCCAGCTCTTTCTCCTTTTCATGTTGCCTCTCCCTCTCTCTTTCCTTCTCCTTCTCTCTCTCCCGTTCTTGTTCTTTTTCGAGTTCTTTCTCACGCTCCCGTTCTTTTTCACGCTCTCTTTCCCTAATTTCCTCTGGAGATGGCTGTTTTTCCACAATGCCAAGCTTCTCATTTAATCGTTTCAGTTTCTCTGCACAAGCTGCCTTCCTTTGTTCTTCCATTCTCCGCTCTTCCTCTTCACGCCGTTTACGAGCACGTTCCACTGCTGCAGAAACTTCTGACTGTTGTCTCCGTCTTTGCTTCCAAATTTCATCTTCGTCAGGTACTTGCTGCTTAGGGGGAAAAGGGACTGCTCTTCCAGGTACTGTCTGTCTTTCTGGAGGAGGTGGATGCTGAAACAGTAAGAAAATCAGATGAGCATGACAACTCTGTATTTCTGACCAACACTAGTAATCACAGGCATAGACAGAAAGAAATACCAATAGGAGAATAGCAGAAGTTTTCCTGATGATACCTATTTACTGTGCCAGACATTATTAGTTGCTCAGAATCTGTTGAGTAAAACCAGAAGCATGACCATGAATCTCAGAATCTAAATTTAGAGATGTAAAGGAAAATTTGGAAAAAAAAAACCAAAACAAAAAACTAAAGTGCAAATGCACCCACAGCAGGTGTCAGAGCTGGGATGCCTAAAAGAGAAAAGGCCACAAAGATCCAAAATGGCAGCACATGAGCCCTGAAAAGACTGAGGTGCAACTATTGGGAAAAAAAGCAGAAGGTCAAAGAGCAAAGTGAAGAAGATAGAGACAATACTACTGATGACATCAAAAAGAAGAAATTCCTAGAAGTCAGCTGAGGGTGGGCCAGGGCAGCTACATCTATACAGAACCCAGGGTCGACAGTGGGAGGATCACTTTCTCCCGAGAGGCTGAGTTTCAATGATTTAACTTTCAAAATAATGTGTCACTGACAGCAATTACTGCAAAAGAAAGCAGAATGAAAAGAGCACATGAAGGGCTGAAATGTAAAGGAACTAACTTTTTCTTGTCCTCTAGCACACTGATCTTAATGGCTAGTAGGATGAAGAAATCTTAAAAGTTATACAGTCCAGTCAGAATCCTTACAAAAGAAAAATATGGGTGTGATGAAAAAACTAGACTTAACATATCTAATTTACACAGCAAAGCCAGAGTAGGCATTTTTAATAAAATTCCATAGAAGTGTAATTCATGTAAAATATAGTGCACATATTATAAGTGTATAGTTTGAAAATATCAAGATATTTTAATCACCCCTCAGCCCCCATCTTTGTCTTCAAGGAACAAATGATCTGCTTCAGGCACGATACATACATACATACATACATA